ATGAATAAGGTCATATACAGCATACTTTCAGATACACTTCTGGACTCGGATGTACTCTTACAGAACTGTAAAGAGGAAACAGTAATGAGGTACATGTAAACATCTACTAAGACTGATAAAGGACAAACCAAATGATAGGATGGTATTATCATGAACAGTAGTCTCCAGACAGGACAGGTGTCTTGCTCTTGCAGTCAAAGCTAAATTCAGGCAATGATGTTCTCTCTCTGCTGGAAAAAGAGAACACTTATTAAAAAAGAAAAAAACAAAGAAAAGAAAACCTGAAAATTACAAATGAATGCAAAACTGAACCACACTATAAATTACCCCTAACTTCTCTAAACAATTTTTAAAAAGTGTATTTGGGAAGAATCAAAATTAATGTTACAGATATATTACATAAAAGATTACCTCTAAGCTAAAATTATTTTAACAAAGCCTCTCTGTATCATGCTTTCAAAAAACATGAAGCTATAAAGATTACAACATTATAAAATGGCTACGATTAAATTTTTTTTTTTTTGTAAGGAACTCTCATAACTCTTCAGGTAGCATTTTTATAGAAATGTAAGCAAAGAAATTCTCATCTAGACACTGCAAATAAAAATAAAAACAAAAACAATTTTCTTAAACTTTCCCAAAGATTTCAAAAGAATTACAAAGTATACCTAATTTCCTTATCTCCATCCAATGATCATTTCATTCTCGAACCATCCTTATAATGACAATGAATTCTACACTAAGCACCAAAAGCAACAACAAAGCTCTACAAAAGGAACACATCAAAATGAGACAGGGCCTAGCACCTGAAGTAAAGCTGACTTTAGATGACAGGAGATGAGCGTGTGGATGAAATAAAGATGGGGGTTCAGAAAGAAGCAAATGTAAAAACTGATACAAGAAAGTGAAATTTTAAAATGCTTTAAATTCCATTAAATAATGAGCACAAAACCTACTTTCATTAGAAATGATTGGTGACAGCATTCCTGTTCACCAAGATTTCTTTCCTTCCTAAGAGTCGGGAAGCTATTTCGAATATTATGTCTCATCTGCTAAGTGTATAAGAGACAAAAAAAAAAAAAGAATCACTTTTCTTAAGGACTGTATACATACCTTAGAGCAACTGAGTTGCTCTTATAGTTCAAGAAGTTAACAAAATAAGTTTCTTATATCTAGGAAATGGCTGTTCTCTTTTTGTCTTACAAATACTTTACACTGCCACTTAATTCTGTATTTAAAGTTTCCATTTTTAATTTATAGAATTTTGGAAGAAGAAAAGTTCTGGGAGAAAGATCAAGGAGTAAGCAATCCAAAATTTCTTGCAGGATATTTCTGTTTTAAAGGCTAACTGACTTTTGTAGGGGGAGAGGAAACTTACAAATGTTTATATAAATTCTAGAACTGAAGTTAGCTTTCTGTGATTAATCTATATTCTTTGTGTGCAGGATTAGATTTTGATAAAAATTTTATGATACTCCAAAATAGCCACTGATATTTCAACAAATGAAATAAGAACGTCTGATTTCTTTTTGAACGATTATATCCAATGGTTAGAGTTCAAGTTAAGAATGGAAATACAGTCCCACCCAAACAGTTCTGGTAACAAGATACTTTCTTCATTGAAGGTTAGCCATATTTGCTATAAGTAATCAGCTCCAGCTCCGACAGTGAGAACTTATCTTCATAGTAAGCTACTTGTTGTCACATTTGATCGTATTACAATAATACAAAATTTATGGATATTCTTGCGTTCCTACAACATGTTTTCATTAAATGTTTGGGCATCAGTTACTTATTTTTTAAAATGTTACAATTATCTGATAACATTTAAAACAACACTGTTCAGAGGGAAAATGTGAAATAACAACTCAACCATCCCTTGCAGTAATCCTAATCAATCTTTTAACCAGTAATATATAATTTCTCTCAATTTTTCCTTAATTACCTACACTGAGTTTAATTCTTTTACCACTCGCAACTCTACCTGCACAGCCAAATGTGCAAAATAAAGCAACAAATTTATCAGAAGAGCTGCAGAATTTAAAATGTTTCTACTTTTAGGTGGCATACTATAAAAGGAAAGAATGAGATGAAAAAGAGGATATAAAACCCACATTTGTTGGAAAACTAACTATATGGCAGGCAAATACTTTTATTTTTAAACTGAGTTTAGAAGGAGAAAGTTATCATTGGGAAAGGGAAGTACTTGTAAATACTGACATTTACCTATACTTTACAGGCTGAATGCAACTTGTGCTGGCAACTGCAAGGATTTGGAAACACTATATATAAAACCAGGAAGAGATATTATATAAATTACTATTATACCCAAATCTAAGTTGTTTGCAATGATGAAACAACATCAAATAGGAAGAACTGGTTTACAGGTATTAAATTTTTTAAAGTCAAACACTAATGTACCAAGAGGGAAACTATACATATATATGAAAGAGATCTTAGAGATCATCCAATCCAGCTTTTTATTTTATACACACAGAATCCGTCCAGGTAAGGAAAGAGGCCTGCCTAACGCTACAGTTAGTTGCAGATCTGAAGATAAAAGCTCAATCTCTTAGCTATCCATACTAGATCATCTTTGGACATAAAAATATTTAGTGAGATGGACTAGATTGGTGTCTCTCAGCATTTCTAATCACATATTCTAACAAAATCCCAAAGATAAATTAACCCCTGGAAATGACTAAAGCATTTAACATTCCACAATCTGAATGCCTTAATTGTTGGGGAAATTTCTAGGATTACAGATGTCTACCCCCATGTGACCCCTGTGATGAGACACTTAACCCTGTTTTTTAATAAAATGGTTCCAATGACTGAGGAGACTACCAGGAGAGATTATTGGAAAATTGATAAGAATTAACAAGGGAGGTAATTGTTAACCTCATTACTATATACTTAAATATGCATTCACTCATTTCATCCAACAAACATCTGAGTGCTCACATGAGCCAGGCTTTATGATAAGTACTAGAGATAAAAAGATGAATAAGACATGGTCCCCCCCTTCCTAGAGGAGCTTGTAATCTAGTGGGGAAGACAGACATATAAACCAGATAAATTTTATTACAACATCAAATATTTTAACAAAGATATGAACAAAGTGCTAATTAAAAGGGAAGGTAAACATAGGAACTGCCTAATGACCAAGAAGTCTACTGATTCTATGCAATATTCTGAGGTAAGGACTGTCACGGTTACTATAAGCACAATCTCATGTTTGAGCAGTAATTAGGAAGAAAGCAGCAGCAGAGTTTTGTTTTTTTTTTTTTTTTTTTTTTTTTTTTTTTTTTTTTGTAAAGTTGGCAATGAAACCACAGTGCCTATATACAAAATCTATCCCTTCCATTTACTAGCTATTACTCTATGTAAGTTACTCCATTTCTATCAGCCTGTTTCTTTATCAGTAAAAGGGAGTTAATTACCATCTATTTGAAAAAGCTGTCAAGTTCTAAATGAGAAATATCAAAGTGCATAGATTACTAGTATTTATAAACATACTCATGAATTCAGTAACAATACATTACTATGTAACATTGTAAATAAAAATCTTACTAATGTTTATAAAGGTACAATTGTAAACCTATTGAGTATTGGGGACATTTAATCCTCATACTAGGGGACCAAACTGAAACATATTTGGTCTTCTGAGTCATTCAAAGTAACATGGCTGAAAATATTTTAAATTTTATACTAGGGAAATTGATTAGCTATTGATGGACTGAACTAAACATAACGTAATTTCAGTGACATTTCCAGAGAAATTTATATTTTTGAAGTATCAGGTTAAAGTTTACTCATCAAATTATAAAGCCATGGAGACTTAACTGGCCTTTGAAAGATTTACTTTCTTTATAATACCTGTTTGGTGTAAAGAGAAGAAACGTGAGCCTCTGCCAATTTGGCATCTTTCACGACTACTAAAAAGAAAAGAAAACAAACTTACCTAATGGATCAGAATAGCACAGTCAACATACAAGAGACTACATAAAAATATACAACAGATCTAAATAAAATGAGTAATTATTTTAACAAATGAAATCTGCGTTTGAAATTTTAAATATAAATGTGTACCAATTCCAATTCAAAACATTCCTATAATGTAGTATTTCCATCAAAAATATAAAACTTTAACCTCAAGTGTAAAGGGAAAAAAGAAACACAAAAATAGCATCCACAAGGTACTCCGCTAGCAGAAGATAGAATTACTGATGGAATTACAGTTTTTGATTGTGTTGGCCCCAATATAAAAAAACAAAGTTTTATTAAAATGTGATTTTTAAAATATCACTATAATATTGAGAAGCAGAAATACTTGCCATCAAAACAAGGAATTTTAAAAGGTATATATAGTAATCTCCTACCCTCTTATTCTACAAAGAACGTATTTCCTGGAAAATGCTTTGTCAACTTTCAATGATTATATTCACTTACTAGAGAAATTCACTTTAAAATCACAATATTGTTGCAAATGTCAAATACTTTTATACAAGCATAGCAAATGCACACTTAAAATATCAGACTGGAACACTTACCAAACAGTGTTTTCCTAAAGTAGTATCTATAGTACATTTCTTTATTCACACATCTTCAAATGGTCAAGTTTTCTTTGATACATCCAAAATGTAATATGATGTTTTCTTATTCACCAAATGTTAGCTCTACTTCAAGTCTGGTTCCAAACTAATCAGCCTGCTTTTAAATTTTAAGACATCTGTTGAAAATTTATAGGATCAAACCAAACTGAAGTGGTATAAATTTTAAACATTGGATTGTACATTATTGTAAAGGTACCATTAACCATTATTACTGATTATAGCTTCTTTTGTGGTAGTTAGGGAAGGGTAGATCACCATCTGGAATGGTCTTTCGTTTTCTTTTTTTCCTTTTTTTTTTTCTGGGACCTAGGGGCTAGGCAAGTGCTCTACCTCTGAGCTGTATCCCTAACTCTTTTTTCTTTTTTCTTTTTTTTTGGGGGGGGGGTAACTGCTTTTTTTTTTCTTTTCTTTTTTCTTTTAAGAGACCATTCCACTTTATTTTTAGCATCCAGATGCATAAGGACTCATATATAAAGCAGTCATACACCATTATCATTAAAACCCATGTGATAAAATACATACACAAGTCCAACAAATGGCTAATACATAGTAAAGCCTAAGCATACTACTATGTAATATTATGAATACATAACTTGGAGACTTTAGTTAAGAGTACTATGTTATCTATTCATTTTTGAAAACATTCATTAAGATTTTAAATGCAAATTCATTCCTTATTTGGAGTAAAACAAAATCCTCTATATTATAACAAATACTGGGTCATAAGTATTCAAATCTATTCATTAATTTACAAATAACCCAAAGAATTCTGTAATGTTCAATAGAAGTATGTAATAAAAACATTGCATATGTTCTATTGTGATGTCTTTAGCAATTGTTTACTGAAATAAAATGCAAACATCAATCTTTCAAAATACAAGATCAGAAGGTAGTTTTCTTCTTTTATCTATTTGTGAAATCCATCTTCATATTTTACCAAAAATTGTTTTTTACAAATATGTAAAAGTACATTAGATAATACTAATGAAACACAAGGAGAGTTCTAGCATATGCAGATCAATGATCAGTCAAATCATCTTCTCCAAGAACGAGATTCATTGTCCTCTTCTTCTTCATCATCATCTTGAAGTAATGAGTCATCCACCAAAGACTCTTCCTGAAACTTTAGGTTAAAATGTATTTAGGAATTTACCCAAAACAAAAAGAAAGAAAAAAAAAAAAGGTAACACTTTTAAACACTGTTCTCTCTCAAACGTTGAATACAAAAGGTTATTTTTATAACTCCAACATTGGAGAAAACAAAGTAAAGCAGTCTCCATCCACTCAATGAGACATCTCTACAGTACTTATTTTACTGCTTACATGAAGCAAGCAGTAAAGAATCACCAAATTAAGACTGTACATACCATTTATCCTACTCTAACAAATAGTGCTATCTGCTGTACCTTCAAAACACTGCCGAATACGTCTTTTAAAAAAGACATCAGTTTCACTTAACTTATCCTAACTCTGAACACCAAATCAACCAATGACTTACATAAAAATTCTACAATTTTTTTTGCTACATATAATCTTTTATTTAAAAAAAAAAAATCTTTTTTTTCCCCATTCCCTTCATAAAAACTTCTCAGACTGCTTTCCCAGACTTTCCAAAATACCTAATACCAGGAGCTCTCCTGCTTTTCTCCCCATTCAATTCAAACTCATGGAAGGACAAAGGTATAATCTAAAATATAAAATGACAAATCATGTACATGAGTTCCAAATACACATTTATTCTTGCATTTGACTATGGATATGTGTAACAAACTTAAAATGCTCTTCAAACAAAATGAAGTGCCATTATGAAAACCTAGCAAAGGTTAAACAGAATCATTTAGTCCTTCACCTTACCTTCATTTCTTAAATCCTTCAATTTTTTTTCATGACTAAGCAAAACAGTTGCTTATTTTAAAACTGTTGGTCCCAGAGGACTTTCTCAAATTTGCTGTCCTACATGCTACGTTTTAGAGCTAGCAGGCTAACTCCTGTTACCTGAGAAAATGCAGTCTTCTGCACTTATCCTGAAGCTACTACTCCACTGAAAATGATTTCTCCAGTATATTCCCAGGCCCAGCACATAGCTATCATTCAGGGCTCAGGTCTACTGTTAATATACCTTTATGATTATTATTTATGGACAGACACAATCACTGTTTCCTTAGGGTTCCCATAGCATGTTGTTCAAATCTTCAGCACATCAATATGCCTGTTATTTGTAATTAGTTTCTTATGTTTCTGCCACCACCCTCCTTGCCAGATTATAAGCTCCTTGTTGATAGGGACCGTGTCTTATTCATTTTTGTGCCCATCACAGAATCTACCATTTCATTCTCAAGAACTAAAACAATGCGAATTAAAATAAGAAGCCTGAAATGTTAATACAGCAACTTAATAAAATACCCTAAAACTTAACATATTACAAGATTTCCTGTGGATAAAAATCTAATGAATAATTATTATCTTCTAAAGTAATTGAAAACTGAGTATATAATCACATTCTTTTTTGGGGGGTTAGCAATCCATAATTCTTCTCATTAATCCAGAAAATATAGTTGTCTGCATTTATCTTATATCCCCCATCTGGAAAATGGCTCAGGAATAAAAGTTTTATGTTACAATCACAGTCATAAAAATCGCATTTTATATAAGAACTATGAATAATGAAAGAAAAGCAAATGGGGAGGAAAGAAAAAAAAAAATCACATACTTCCTCTTCATCAGGTTCTGCTTCTTCTGTTTCCACGGCTGAAATATTAGTTATTGGCTTATTCCATGCCAGTTTTAAATCCTGCCCTTTGAAACGAGCTCCATGAATTGCAGCCTAAAACAATTAAGAATTAATATGTAGTGTCTAATATTTAAAGAGCTAAACACAAATGACATTGCCCGTTCATTTGCTTCTAGGTTGTTTACCTCTCAATTTACGATTATAAATTACTATTTATTTTTATGTTTTTCTTTTAACTTCCAAAATCATACCAGTGATTCAAAATACTTTTATGTAAACAATTTCTCATCATTAAGTACAATTACTTCACTCTTGGCCAGGATTTGAATAGAAGAAATATGTCTGCCAGCATACACCACAATGATAACTGCTAGTTAAAACAGCAATCCCAATACACATCAAGAGCTTGGCTGTAGCTTCTGAATCAATGTCAGACTGATACATATAGTAACTATTAACTAGAAATCTTTAACAAAAATTATTTTGCATAGTGTCACACATTATTTTCTAATTACATAAAATCATCACAATTACCATAAAATATTTTATGTGTAACTAATGCAAAATATAAACAACTCAAGGTAAAGGGAAGGGAGTAATTACTGAAAACTACAGTATTTCCTACAAAGTATTTTATAACTATGATAAAACTTGAACTCAGGAAACAGTCAAGTCTAGGTACTTGCTACATTAAGCAGCTGGCCTGGAAACACTGCATTTAAAATAGTATGAATGAACATAAATCAATGTTAGTAATGTATCGAAATAACTCACAGTCACAAAAGATTTATAGCACAATCTCAAAGTATAGTATAATATGAAATGTAGAAACAATTACATGTTCAATGACATCTGAACATGAGTTGTGTGATATTAAAATCCCTAGGTATAAATTTTAAACCTGCACATATAAATTTATGATAAATTTAAAAGATTTTATGCCTATTAAAATGCAGCTCAGAGTTTTTGGTTCATGGTCTCATCACAATGTCATACAACTATACTTCAAAAAAAATATCATATATAAGTTCAGAAACAACTTGAAAAAAAATTTTGGATGTGTGTTTGCCTGCGTGTATATATATGCACAGCATGTGTGTCTGGTGCCTATGGAGGCCAGAAGAGGATGTTTAATCCCCTGGAACTGGAGTCAGAGATATTCTAAGCTACCATGTGGGTGCTGGGAAGCAAAGCTAGGTCCTTTGCATGAACAAAAAGTGTTCCTAACTGCTCAGCCATCTCTCCAGCCCCAACTTGAAATTTTTTGAAGCTGAATTCATTACATAAAAATAGATTACTATCACATGCAAAATGTTACCTCTAAAACTCACTTTTTTCATTCAGTTTAAAAAAAAAAAATCTAAAGAGTAACAACAGTACCTACAGTAAATTTGGAGGTGGGGGTGTTGTTTTGTTTTTGAAAGTCTGCCCATGTAGTGTACACTGGTCTTGAACTCAGATTCCTCCTGCTTCAGCCTCTTACTCAGGAATATTATAGGTCTATACTACCACACCTGGCAACAACAGCTTATTAACAAACTTTGTTTTGAGACCAATATATAGCCCTGATTGGCCTGGAACTCACTATAATATAGACCAGGCTGGCTGGCCTCAAACTCACAGAGATCTATTTGCCTCTACCTCCATAGTGTTGGGATTAAAGACTTGCCCCACCACACTCAGCTTGACAAAACACTTCTTTTGTTTTGTTGTGGTTTTTTTGTTTTGTTTTTTTGAGATGTGGTCTCACTATGTAGCCCCAGCTGGCCTGGAACTCAATATGAAGACCTTCCCAAGCTGGTCTCAGTCTCACAGTGATCCATCCACCTGCCTCTGCCCTGAGAGCTAGGATCAAACAAGACACAAGCCACCATGCCTGGCTTGAAAAAATGTTTCTAATGACCTAATTTTACACATCTCTATAGTCACCACATATTTCAAATTGATACAGTAAACTTAAAAGTTTATTTATAGAGTTTATTTTTAAATATTTTACTCGATGGGGTCCTGGAGGTCTCCAAACAACATAGGCTATTGCCAGAGTCCTTGGTTACAAACCATTTCTACATGCTAAGACTCTATTGCTGAAGAAACCAGGAAACTTCCTTTTCCCAGTTGGCCAGCTTTTATAATGCTAGAAGGTACTAAATAATCTTCATGGGGAAAAGACATCAATGGTCCTATCCAGTACTGGACATTGCATGTCACAATACAGACCAGCAGTCAGGAAAATGTATCCACTGGTACTGAAGTGGCAGGATTGTTTTAGGTACCTGCTTTCTGAATAAATCTGAGGTATGTTAGACAGGTGGGAATTTCATTCCTGTACTGTAAACCTCGTCAAAAGCATGGCTGGGAGAATTCATAGGCCCTAGGCTAAAGCCTGTGATTGTTATTTTTCTCAATGGTTATGGTGTCAAATTGCCTTCTAAGTATTTATATTTATACCCTTAGACCTGGGCTATTCTCAACAATGATCAAAGGCACTTCTTTTTGCAGTGGCAGCAGTGAATATAGAGATGCATAATTATCAAAGCTTAAGAGAGACTGGGTGCTCAACCCAAAATGGGACACCTTTACTAACCATCTCCACCACCCCACCAAGGCTCAAGGAACATTGCAGAAGAGACAGAAAGAATGTTAAGAGCCAGAAAATGGGGAGGCATGCTGCAAAATACAGTCTTTTGGACATGACCTGGCTACCACACTCATGACTCAGAGCAGGTGTGGTTACTTGCACAAGACTTACACAAAATCAGGACAGTCAAAATCCTGGCACAAATGGGAAATGATCTCTCTGCCCTCTACCCAACCCCTTACAGAGGAGCTATTAGCAACTGATAACTGCTAAGGGAGAGGGGTTTCGTTTTGTTTTGTTTAGTTCTTTTTCCCAGGGTATTCCCACTGGTAGGTTTCCTATGCTCTAGTGGATAGCTCAATACAAATGCACATATAAGCAGCATTAACTGGACTTGGTTTAAAGGAAAAAAAGGAAATTGAGAGGGGAAAAGCTGGATGGGTATGGAGGAATTGGAAACGGGAAATGGGGATTGGATATGTTTATTTTATCCATGTATGAAATTCTCAAGTATAAAGAAAAATTACAGTAAAATTTTACTAGATGAATTTTCAAACTATCCTTTAAATAATTATTTTTAAGTGTTTATGCTGGGGTGGGCTTTTGGTGGCTGTGAATGAAAATTCCAAGAAAACTGCACCTTAAAACTGAACATTCTAGGGGCTGGAGAGATGACTTAGCAGTTAAGAACACTCTTGCAGAAGACACAAGTTTGAATCCCAACACCCACATGGCAGCTAACAACTGTCTGTAACTCCAGTTCCAGGGGATCCGACAGCCTCTTCTGTCCTCCGCAGGCATTGCACGACACTGGACTTACCTATATGAAGGCAATACATGCGTACACAAAAAATAAAAAATAATAATAATGATAAAATATTTTTTAAAAAAAACTGAACATTCTAAAAAGGCTGATCAACTCATTAGAACTTCAGTGATTATAGAGAGTTTGGAATGTTGTGGGTCCAGAGCCTAATTATTTATGTTGGACTACCTTTAGACCCCTCACCCCCATAAATAGCCACTCCTAGACCACCTTTGTTTCTGACTTAATAGGTTGTCACTAATAGACAAAAGCCTTTGGAATGTATTAACTTAGCAGATCACCAACTTCCTTCCACCAACCAAAAGGCTGAGTGTCATCAGATAGCAACTGAGGCTTATGACTGAGATTTCTCTTTTTCTATAATCATCTACTTAATGTTTCCACAAATGTATTTGAAAATCATCTTGATTTATGTCTTTTCTTTGTTCTGTCGCTAGAAAAATGTCATGAAACTGTTACTACGTTGCAACACAGAATCGGGGGTAACCTGAATCTGTGTTCCTGGGCCATGGTCACTCATATTTGGTTCCATAAAAAAACTTTTATCCCCTTTGAGATGAGAGTTGTGCATATAATTTCTGGTCCTGTCCATAACCCCTCATCCATGCGCCTACAAGCAATCCCAACAAAATTCACTGTTTCACTAAGCTGGACTTTGACAGTATCCTTATTTTGGTTTGTTGTCAGTTCCCTATCTATGGTAAGTAGATGGCTGTTCATGTCTCCCCAGAAATAGTGTCACACAAAAGTAGCCTACAGTAAAGTGGGAAGGAAAGCATATACACATGCAACAAAAGAAAAGGCTGAAAATCTGATTAGAAAGAGAAAAATCTATGAAATGTATTTAAATGATGGGCTCCACATCTTACATGGGAAGTGGCTCTGGAGACAGAGGGGAGGGGAGGCTATGCAAAATTAATCAAGTTTAATTCCTGCCTTTGAGTCTGAATGGATATTTATGAAATGTGGCCTTTCATAAGCTTATTTAATGAGAAAGCCCTTTATAAGGAAAATTCTTGCAGAGCCAGTATTGCTCTGCCAAAACTAGAGAAAACGGACCTAAGGTGATAACGCTTATATAGTAACTACACTAATAACCACAAATATAAAAGACACACAAAATCTAATTTTTAGAACTTATAAAGACCTCATTTGAGCCAGGCATGGTGGTACATGCCTTTAATCCCAGCACTTGGGAGGCAGAGGCAGGCGGATCACTGTGAGTTCGAAGCCAGCCTGGTCTACACAGCAAGTTCCAGTCCAGCTGGGGCTACAGGGAGACCCTGTCTCAAAGGACACCCCCCCCAAAAAAGACCTCATTTGTTTAACTTTTGAATTCAAGGTATATGGCCACATTCTCAGAAGCTTCAAACCTACAGTTAACTACTTCTAGTAGCAGTGTCCATCACAGAGAAGTACTTAATACTGAAATCAGTTAAAGCACACACAAAAACCTCTTTGTACATAATTTGATTACTTAGATTGAATCAACTTGTATATATTATTCTTGCTATAAATTTACCATTTCCTCAAACAGCATCATCAACATCTGATTGCTGATTTAGACCATCTCTACAAATTTAAGTCTGCACTTCTAAGTTCAGATATCCAAATCAACAGTCTTAACAGTGATGACTCTGTCTCTACTCTGTTTGATTCAACAATTACTCATTTTGATAAAAAGCATTAAAAAAAAATAACAAGTGAGTTTACTACCCTCAAGAATAAATACCTTAGACATACACAATCAGTAAAACATCAGACTACTGAGAATTGAGGGATCGGTGTCAAGAATTTGTCAGAACAAAACTCTTTCTTTTGATACAAATCAAACAGCAGCAACAACAAAACTACACCTTTCCGAGCTTAGGATTATAGGTTTTATCTTTCAAACTGATTTTAAAATAGATATGTAACTATTTATATTCTGAAGCAAGAGCCTAGTTTCCTACAATCCTACAAGGAAAACAGAGTAGAAAACAACTTCAGTTGTGAGAATGACTTTTATTAATGGACATAATCTAGACTTGTGACTTTTAAATAACACCATGAAAACCATGGCTCTTGCATCCCAAGATGGGGCATCTCCCAGACATCCTCAGTCTGGTACTTCACCCAAAAAGATAATGAATGTGGGTATGCTTGATAATTAACATATCAAAACACTGAAAGCACAACGCCTATTGAACAACAGAGGAGGTAGGGGAAGACTTGTGACCTTGGATGAATGTGAACTGTTTGAACTGTTACTTTCCCCAACAAGGCTGGACAAAACATTTTTGAATAAAGTATGGGTGTAGTCTGACAGGGACAGAGTGGAAGAATCAACTCATTCTGTCAATGAGGACACAGGTCACTTCATCCACAAAGGTTGAGGGGACAAGAAAAATCCATCAGCACAGGTCTAGGAGACAGACAGTTCTAATAGACAGCTAGCAGAACTAGTGACCTCCAAGAGTTCAAGCCCATTCTTAATACTTAAGAGTCCAGTCTATTTGTTCAGGTGATTATGATGTTGACATAATAAATGCAGTATCTAGTCAGTCACTGAATGAGAGACTACTTCTTCCTGTTCTATCTGGAAAGTTGTGCTTTGTGGCAATGACATAGTTGGAGACATGACAATAGAAATTAATAGGAATTATGTTCTAACTAATGAGTCAAATCATAAAATAACCAAAAGTTAATGCTCTGCTTACACTTTTATTCTTCAAAATACTTCCAACATTTTTACTGGGGAAAATTCTCACTTTGTAATTTTATCTTAACAATCTCAATGATAATTCTTACAGCTTCACTTTGAAATAATATTAAGCATAAAAAATTAAGAAAATATTCAATCATCTAGAAAAATGGTTCAGAAAAAAAGCATAATGTAATAGTTAAAAGCTAACAGTAGCAAATGATGACAACTTTCTTTCTTGGAAAAGCCTACCCTTTTTCCAAAGTTTATGTCATCTTACATTTTTTCATGTCAGAATTTCCTGGCTTTTTACATAATGATGGTGATACTAAGTGGCAATCTTTTATGTATTTCTAATCTTCCTTAGGAAAGCAAAATATCGGCATTTGTCAAAACACTAAATATTAAAATTCTTAAACATTTTATTCACTGAAATCCAGAAGTTCAAAATAATTTCCTATCTATACCTATAGTTTCAACTTAATTTTTCATTCATTTCAAAACAGAGAAAGTTAAACCTTTTGGCTTAAGGAAATGTTCGTGGTGAAACAACTCATAACTTCATTTTAAATGTTTATCATGGCAGTGGTAGCTACTCCTTGTACACTCTTAAGAAAATACAAGTGAAAGAGTATTCACTCTGCATAGGTAAATTTGATTACTTAATTTGACCTTAGTAACTTATTCAATGTTCATATAATTCAGTGTAAAAAGCCTCTGATTTCTATTTTAATTGTTATTAATTTTGAAAATTATACATAATACCTATATACATATAGGTAGAAAAGGCAAGAATCATGGAAGAAGTGTATGTTAATTCTTATTATGAGCAAAACTTTATAAAAAATTTAGGGACTGGAGAGATGCATCAGTGAGTGAAGTGTTTGCCCCACAACCATGAGCACCTGAATTTGTATCTCCAGGACTGACATAAAGTCAGACATAGCAGTGTCTGTCTTTAACCCTAGTGCTGTGGGTCAAAGATAAGCAGAATACCCACTGCCAACCAGTCTAGCCAAAATATCAAGTGCCAATCTCACTGCCAACCAGTCTAGCCAAAATAGTAAGATCTGTCTCAAATTCAGTGACCCTAATCTCTTACAATCTTGCAAGAAAAACTGTCTCAAAAAATGAGATAGAAACCGACATCAACCTCCAGCCTACACACACACACACTCACTCTCTCTCTCTCTCTCTCTCTCTCTCTCTCTCTCTCTGCTCTCATTAGGCAATATTTTAAGCATTTGTGTACAATTACCATTGTTTCACAGTATCACTACTTCTTAGAAAATAGAGATGCTCCTCAAATTGCCTACCTCAATTAAAAATCATAACTGAAATCATCACTGTAAGAAAAAGCCTTCAAACTTGTGCTCAGTAATATATGCTAAAGATAAAATTTTATTAAAGTTATACTTAATTCACATATACAAATGTCTTAAATTCTCATCAACTAAGTTTGCCTTTATTTTTAGAACAGGTCTTTATATAAAAGATTCTAAACTAGGGTTTTAGAGATAAAGTTGTAGATGAACTATACATCATCTCTTAGGCAAATAGTAGCTGTCTGTTTGGGGGTATGCTGAGCTAAAGATGCTCTAGAATTCTACCTGATGAGACTGGGAAGTAAATGAAGGATTAAAAAAAAGGGTGGGCATTAGAATTAGACTTCTCTGCTTCTATCTTAGATAACTCTTACCATTCATTCTAGTAAACTTTGTTCTGGGCCAGATAAAACAACAACACCATCAAAAAAAAAAAAAAATCAGGTGGAAAGAAAAGTGGCTCTAGCTCCTGTAACAAAGAATTCATGACATCTTCAGATAATATAACTGAAATTTGAGTTGATGTCTAACCTCATGTACATATTGGGGGAGGGGTCTCTTTTTGAGACAGGGGCTCTCAGGCTGGCTTCAATCTCACAGAGAGCCATCTACCTCTGCCTCCCAAGTGCTGGGATGAGAAGCATGTGCCACCATAACTGACCCATACATTTATTTAATTACATTATGTTGCATACACATTTCCTAACTAAATAAGGACATTAGTTGTAGGCTCAAATTGCTCTTCAAATATTTTACCTGTTGTCAGAATAGGTAAACTTTAAAAAACTCATTTATATTAAAAGTTAAAATAATAATCATTTAAGTCTGGTTTGCATAAACTATTTTTAATACTTACAGCTTCTGCTTCTGCTCTTGTCTTAAATGTAATTACTGCATGAAGTGAAGAGTCATCAATCTGGCAATCCTCAATTTCACCATATTGCTGCAAATTCAAAAAAAACAAAAATTCCTAGAAATAAGTATCCTGAAGCACCCTAAACCCCCAATGGCATTAAAATACTATTAAACGTAACCCAGAATACACAATAATTCATACTTGTTGACAGAAAATAGTAATTCCTATCAGTAATTGAAATTTTAAGAGAAAGTGTGGTCCTATCTTTCAATCTCAATTCTAATTCTAAACCTTCCAGAACTGGTAAAACTATACTCTACTGGTATCGAGCTTAATGAACAAAACACTGGTCAAAGACTGAACTTTCTTACTGGCCTCCTTATTGTTCCAATCTCAGGACATGATAAATTTGTTCTCAGGTAGCGTACTAAATCCTCGGAACACATTATTAACTTTTCATCATTGCCAATGGGGGGGGGGGGCAATTTTCAGAAAATTTAAGTAATGTTCCCAAGTAATTAAGTGAATTAACAGGGTAAGGGTGTAGGTCTTTTGACCTGAAAGTTTAACATTAACTGACCATGTTTTCACTTATTATATATTCCAGTGTCATCCAAACTTTAGAACGTTTAAATGCTAAGCACAATATATTGTACCTGGCTTGAGATTGTGTATTTTTTCCCCCACATAAAAGATTTTTCTATGATAATAAAGGTTAACACACCAAGTTTCAGTCCTTTGTAAATTATTTAAATTATTATCAATATTGTTCTTCTCACCCCAAAATAAAACTATAACCATAAGGCCATTAAATGTAAGTTTACATAATCAGTGTAAACTTAAGTTATTTAATCTCTTTAAAGTTTCATTTCTTCATCTATAAAATGGGCACGATAATCTACTTCATAAGGGTATTCGAATAATTCCTAATGTGCCAAGTTATTTTTAAAGATACAATAATAGTGACCATAAAACAAGTACTCTATAAGTTTTGGCTATAATTATTATTATTACTGGTTTCACTGGATAATTTTAAAAAGCATTTTTTAACCACAATTATAGAAGTCAATTGTCCCTAAGTTTTTTTTTCCAAATCTTGCTCATGACATTGAAATATATAGTAAGTGAAAACATGGTCAGTTAATATCAAATTTTCAAGTCAAAAGACCTACACCCTTACCCTGATAATTCACACTGAGACTAAAAAGCTACACTTTAACTGATTCTGACTTAATACTAGTAATTTTCAAATATGAATTACCACAACTAACTTTTCAGTGGAGTTCATAATTCCAAGTTCATGAAATAACTTCCATTCAGTTTCTGAATATTTTTCAAAATATCTTAAGTTTCAGCAAAACACATTTACAACAAACTCTTGGATTATTTTAGCATACTGACTGCTAGTTTCCTGATTAGCTGTATAACTATATTAAAGACACAAGTTATTTGGATATCCTTTCCTTTGCGGAAGTGTGGAAGTGGGGTACATAGCAGGGAAGAGTTGGGCTACATTATTTCCAAGTTGATTGTTTCCAAGCTCCTTTCTAGTTCTCTGATTCTTTATCCTTTTGACTCCATCAAGCACAGGACTCTCCAGACTCCTCATCCTAAATATTAACATGTTATTTGTTATTTCTTAAACATCAATTACTTCTTTTAAAATCTCCTTACATCCTAGCAAAATATAAACTACTAAAAGTTTGGACAACAACTGTCAAACATATAAATCTAAGTCATTAGTGTGTTTAGTAAGTTGAACTTGGCTATTAATTACCTTTGTAGTTTACTCCAACTGATTTGTGTTTAACTAATGTATCTAAAAGCACTGAGAGTAAAGAACTGGTAATTTACATCTCTGAAGTAATTACCATGATGCTGAGGGTAACACAGATACTTAGCATTAACCTTTTAAACTAAATTTTTATATAACGCTGTGAACTGAAATATTTAAGATGAAACATTGCAATAGGAAAAATCTCCATTCTGCGTATCAGGTTAATGCATACCAGAAGTCCAATTTAATAACAGACGGACAAGGAATAATCATTTCTTCCTCTCCCTCCACCCACTTTTGAGACAGGACCTCCCTCTAGCCCCAGCTAGCCTGAACTCGCTATGTAGACAGTCTTGGCCTTCATCTCATAGAGGTCTACCTGCCTCTGCCTCCTGAGTTCTGGGATTAAAAATGTGTGCCACCACATCTGACTCTGCTTTTCCCTTTTAAAAAAGAAAAAAAGAAAACTACTTTATTTTATGTGCATGTTTGCCTGGTTTTATGTAAGTGTACCACATGCATCCAGTGCTCACAGAGGTCAGAATAGAGTATCAGCTGGTACTGGAGTTACTGATGGTTGAGCCACCATGTGGAGGCTGGCAACCAACCTTACTAGATAGACTCTTAGACTATATCCTTGATACGAGTTAGACAACTTTTAAGATCACACATCAAATTTTATATTGCTTTCAGTTCTAGTCAGCCATATCAAGAGCATACTATGAACAAATAAAACTTCATTTTCATGTTTTAAAATTCCTTATATTATCGGTACTAATCTACTCATGATGTTCTCTTTGAAACAATGAGGCTCAAATCAAATTAAGTTTATAATAGTTAAAGGTATGTCTAGTTTAAAAATTATAACATTTTTTCCTAGATAAAAAGACCCTACAGTTCTTATTTTATAAAAAGTTGATAAAAAATTACTATGGACTAATCAAGTCCTGTGTTCAGATCAATGGTTAAATTACTCATATCATTTTTGTAATTTCTTCTTTAATTATATTCTCCACAATAATCATCACCAGTAATTATTTTACTAGGTGGTAATAAAATACCGCAAAATGAGGGAGAAGATCTTCTCTATCACTCTCTGTAAATGCAGAAATCTCCAATGCTCTGGGTCGGTGATCCACCACAGCATGCCCAGGAACCCCTCGCCCTCGGCCTCTACCCCTGCCTCGGCCATGAACTGCACCTCGACCTCTTGTATGGATTCCTCTACCACGACCAGATGAAAGAATCCCACGTTTAGCAGCCTAGAAGAGAAAAGACACAGGTTAAACAATGTGGACATTAAGTATTGAGATTTCCAATATGGAATGCCTGGAAACCATTAGTGTTTCTGATTTTGGACTTTCAAATTTTGATATATTTGTATAAGCTTTATTTGTTAAGCATTCTGATTTCTAGATTAGGAATACTATAGCTGTATTAGCTCAAGCCAAGTGTTACACTTTTTGTAAGTGTTTCAAATTTCTATGCTGTTTGAAAGTCTATTTAGGTTATCAAATAACATTACAGGTTCCGAAATTACTAAATGTGCCCTATTTTAAAAGAAATGTTATTACATTATTTATTGTGTGTGTGTATGTTGATTTGTGTGTTCCATGGAGCATCTGTGGTGGTCAAAAGTAAGTTCTCACCTTCTACCATTTAGATATCAGAGATCAAATTCAAGTCATCAGGCTTGGCAGCATGACTTTACTTACTGAGTCATTTCCTCAGCCTACCCTTTCTGGTGGTTGTTTCCCAAACTAACTTCTTACACTAAGAAAAAAAGAACACAGGATAAAAAGACTGGTAACTTCAAAAATCAGGTAAATAGAGATTTTAAGATCTACCTACATAGGTAATTATTCTTACATGAGCTAGACCCCAGCCTCTCCAGTTATATGTAACTTTCAAAATAAAATGTTCCTATTTCTTTGCCTGTTGACTCAACTGGTACAGCTTATCTCAAATTCATCATTTTGATCATTTTTCCTAACATCACTATAGAACTACACAGTACTATTCTATCATATCACTTATTTTGTGTGGTACATCATTCCTTCATTCCACAAGTATTATGTGAGCACATGTATTGTGTAAGTTAGCCTTTAACCTCAAGAAGCTCAATTCCAAGGCTGTGCAGTTGGTCAGTAGGTAAAGTGCTTGCCATGCAAACATAAAGATTGAGGTTTGATCCTAAGCACCCAACATAAAAAGCTGGTCATCACAGCACAAATCTATAATCACAGCACAGAGGTGAAAGAGACAGGCAAATCCCTGGGTGTTGCCAGCCAGTCAGCCTAGCAAAATCAATGAACTCCAGGTTCAGTAACACCTTGTCTTTGAAAGATAAGGCAGAGATTGAGGAAGAAACCCAATGTTAACCTTGGGCGCCAGCCTCCATAAGCACATACACACACACACACCCAAACATAAAGAGCTCAATTCCTAGACAAGTAAATTACTGAGATATTAAACTGTCACTTAATTATACTAATAAAAGTCATTCAAAAAGTGAGTAAAAGCTTTAAAGATTTGAATAGACCTTTTAAAAATATGCAGCAAATAGCTACTAGAATGAAAACTTCCTTGAAGATTATTTTTGCTTTTTTTCTTTATGGTTTTGCTTGTTTGGGTTTTTTTGTTGGTGGTGGTGGTGGTGGTGTTGCAGGGGTTGGTTTATATTTTGTTTTGGTTTTTTGCTTATTTGTTTTCAAAGTACTAAGAATTGAATCCAGAGCCTCATGCATGCTACACCTATGCTCTTCCACTAAGCTACATTCCCAGCCTAAAGGTGGTTTTCTTCCCCTACTCCCCCTGTTTTACCTTCACCTCAGCAGTGGCTGGCAGATTAATGAATCAAAGAAATAAACCAGAACAAAAAACCTGCGAGACTGAAGTGGAAGTCTCAGCACAAACACAGGTAAAGTTTGAAGGCAATGTGGCTTTCCAAAGAATGCATAAAATGCAATGCCACTGGATGGGCTGATATAGAACTTTAAGGATCAAGTTGACAATTTTATTTTTATTCTCAAACATATGAAAATCAAATGAAAAGTTTTCTGCACTAAATAAAACAGTGATGTACTCAAATCCGCTTTGACAAAAGATTCTTCAACTGGACCTCTAGGGACACAGCAGCAGAAAGGGAAGAAGCTGTGGAGCCTAGTAGCATGCCACTTCAGTAGTACCAGCTACTAAGTATGGACACAGTGGTGCCAAAAGAGAGAAAGTACAATTCAAATGTGAGGGGCTGGAGAGATGGCTCAGCAGTTAAGAGCACTGGCTGCTCTTACAGAGGATCCAGGTTTGGCTTCCAGCAACCTCATGGCAGTTAACAACCATTCATAACTCCAGTTTCAGGATCCAAAGCCCTCTTCTGACCTTTGTGGGCACCAGGCACATATATGGTGCACATACAAACTCAGGCAAATTCACACATAAAATAAAAATACATCTTTAAAAAATAAAATAAAATTTTAGAATAACACATCTGAAAACTTAACAGTTGACTGGATATGGAGATCGAAGAAACGGTGGAGTCAATTAAGACTCCCATGTTTCAGGTTTAAGTAACTATAGGCACAGAGTTTAGAAGCAAGATAAGCACAATTCTGAATGTGCTGATGAAAGATAAAGGACATCCAAATGGAAATGTCAAGCAAACACACTGTCAAATATCTGCTAATGTAAAGATTATACACAGCTATTCTAGCCAATCTTAACGTTATCAAAAATAAACATATAAAATCCAAATAATAATAATAACAATAATAACCAGTGAAATAAGCGAGGCACAGAAAGACAATTCCTGTATGATTTCATTTACGTGTAGAACCTAAAAAAGCAATGTCATATTAGTGAGTCAAATTATCCCCTAAAAATTGAGTTTCAATAAACCTATAATTTGGAGCTGTACATTTAAAAAGCCTTTAAGAAATACTATAGTCAGAGTAGATATTCAATATGACTTTTGCCAAATATATCTGACCTTAAAACAAAGATTCTAACAGATAGCAAAGATTGTAGTGGTAGAGAATGGGGAAATGTTGGTCAAAGGGTACAAAGAAAAAAACTGTAATATCTATTGTATAACATGGTGAATACATTTGATAACATATTATATATCTGAAAAGAGCCAGAAGAAACAATCAAAATGTGTTTTCATAATAACTTGAGTATGGGGGGGGCGGATCAGTGAGACAGCTCAACAGCACCTGCTGCCAAGCCTGACAATCTGAGTCCAATCCCTGGGACCCACATGGTGGAAGGAGAGAACCAACTGCTGCAAGGTGTCATCAAACCTACACACACACACACACACAAATGAACTTTAAGAAAAAAGAACTTAAGTATGTGAGGTGATAGATAAAACTGTTGTTTGGTAAGCACACATGTATCAAAACATCATGTTATACACCATATACATACACAATTCTTCACTGGACAATTTAAGAAGATAATTGATAAACTTAAAAGGCCAAAGGTTAAAAACAGAGAAACATTATCTAAAGTATGGTCTATGGAATATTAGTGAGTCAAACTTCCCCCTGAAAATTAAGTTTCAATAAACCTATAATTTGGAGGTTCACATTAAAAGCCTTTAAGAAATACTATGGTCAGAGCATATATGAAATACGACTTTTGCCAAATATATCTGACCTTAAAATCTTTGTTCACTAATGTACATTAATAACAATGATGAAATTACAGTGAAGAAGATAGTTGGAGTTGTACTGCATTAGTGCACATATGAGTAATGACTGCAAACCAAATTACTTAAGCCTAAACTTAAACATAAATGATCAGAAAATAACATTCCATGTTTAGCTGTATTATAACAATAATAATTTTATGCTATTGTTTAGCTACTAAAATTATACCAGGACTCTGAAAAAGGTACTTTGCTTTTCATCTCACCAACAATGGCATGAAATACTTAGAATAAGAAAACACAATTTATATATACCTATTATTTTAGGGAAGACATACAGGCAACCAGGTCACATTTCAAGAAAATGCAAATATACACAGGTTTAAGACAAATCCTATATCTTCTTCTATCCCTCAAACAAGACAGAGTCTAGAACAAAATCCAGTAACTGGAAAAGTTAAATCTTTAAGCCCTGCATGACAACACTAAACAGACTCCTACTGCATTGTAAAGAGAAAAAAATACAATTTTCAACCAAGTTTTTTTTAAAAAGTACCATATTCAAATTAAGCAAAATAACCTAAAATATAGACAAGCTTGAATTGCTGTGTCAAACAATGATGAATATAGACATTAATGTTTTCAAATCTTACAATATAATTCTAATTTTTAAATATTTCTGTTAAATATTAAAAATTCATCTCTTATAACAGATGAATTTTCCTAGGAGAGTCTCATAAATAACCGTGTAACCAAATTCTAAGAAGGTAGTTTATTTTCCCTTTTAAAACATCCACAGCACCATCTATAGGCAAAACTTAAATAAGCATGTTTTTCAATTATAGATTTACAACTAGAATCTAATCTTTAGCAATTCAACATAACATGTCTATGTATCCCAAAGACTATTTCCATATGAATACCTAAAAAAACTTTAATAGCTTTTAGTCCCAGGAATTCAAAAAAAGAACAAAAGGGGAATAAAACTTACTAAAAATAAAACTTACTAAAAACTTACTAAAAACGTACTACCTGAGTCTGAAGTAGAAGTACTTGTTAAATAAGACTTTCTCAGGCCAGCAAGATGGGTCAATGGGTGAAGAAGCTGAGTTTGATCCATAGGAGGACCCACATGATCAAAAGAAGAGAATTGATTTAGGAAAGTTGTACTCTGACCTCTACATGCAGGCTAGGACATGCATACACAAGCTCAAAATGAATGAATGAAAGAAAAAGAATTTTTTGAGGGGTGCTTTCTTTTTGGTCTGTTTTTGAGATAGGGCTTCCCTATAGCCCTAGCTGGCCTGGAACTCGCTATATGTAAACCAGGATGGCTTTGATCTCACAGAGATTCACCTGCCTCTATCTCCCCAGTGTTGGGATTAAAGGTATGTGCAACCACACTGGGCTAAGAAGAATTTTTTGAAATTATTTTCACAGTTGCTTTTGTAAGATCAATTCACTTCTTCCCTCACTCCTACCCCAACATCCTTATACACATATGGTGGTCAATAATTGTTGGCTAGAACCAAGAATATGCATTTTCATGTTCACCACTGCAACTCTCTACTTCTTTTAACTACAGTAGCTAGGATGAAACATACTTCCAGCTGTAATTCTGTATATTTTCTCCTAAGTTCAGTGACTTCTTCTCCAGCCTGCATCTTCTTGTATAAATCCAACTCCGTGTCAAGCAATTCTTTCTGCATCTAAAAAACAGTAATTAATATTTCAGGTAACAATAATTAATATCCTGCACTGATACAAACATGTTTAACAAGGAGCCTTTTCCATTTTCATTACTCCATATATGTCCTTCTTTCTTTTGGACATGAGGTAGTTACACAGTTGATGTTGGTCTTGAATTTCTGATTGTCACAGACACTGGAATTTACAGGTTTGTCACCATGCCCAGCTATACTTCTTTTCTATCACAGTAATATTACTCTGTTCCGAGCTTATAAACCACCTCTGATTAACAATGCAAAATTTTCTTGGCTTATTGTTATCGATGATTTCCCTGTAATTCATTATCTATACCATAGCCAAGGAGAGATCTATGAGTTGGTATGTAATAACTTCAGAAAGTAAGTGCTAGCAAGTAAAATATATAGTATGTCTTGATATAGGTAAATCTATCTTAGATAGATTTGAAGGATAAACCAGAAACTAAAAATAATTATATACAGGGAGTGGGACAGGCACAGCATATCCGGAATTTGGGTAGGGGGGTGTCTTCTTATATGTACCATATGTCTTTTTATGTACTTTGACAGTTGAATCATGGTATGTTATTCAAAAAAAGCAAAATTAACTCAGTAAGAACTTGAACCAGTGTCCAGTCTACAAAGAGGAGAGTCAACTTAGAGGAAATATCTCATTCATGCTTCCAAGCAAAGCCAGACATGGTCAAGCAGGGCCTTTGATTTATCTTCACATAGATGGAACTGGTAAAAGAAAGGAGCCAGGAGCTCCTCCCAAGCCCATGTGACTCCTGAGGAACAGATCCTCAAATGACCTTAAGTGTAAAAATAAATTCATTTATTTGGGACAACTATATGGTCGTAAACACCCAAAAGGAAAGTATAACCAAAGAGTAAAGTCATTAGTATACTTCTTTAAGAGTTCAAGGGAATAACTTCCCAGACATTAGGCTTAAGTCTATATATTAAGGCCAGGCGTGGTGGTGCATGCCTTTAATCCCAGCACTCGGGAGACAGAGGCAAGCGGATCTCTGTGAGTTCAAGGCCAGCCTGGTCTACATAGTGAGTTCCAGGACAGCTGGGGCTACAGAGAGACCCTGTCTCAAAAAGACAAAAAAACAAAAAGTTATTTAAACAATTATTTCTCATTGATGATTTTGTTCCTAACCAGAAAGTGCTGCTCAGATATAAGACTTCAAATCTTGGTCTGCAAGACTGTAGTGCCCATCCGTTGCTAAGGGAGACAACCAGCTATTGTTCTAAAATGACTGATAAATTTGTTTTCTCCCCCTATTCAGAAGCCTTTAAGAGGGAGCTGATACTAATTCTAACTATTCTAACAGTTATCAAAATACCTGAAAGCAAATCCTAAATCCAACTCTCTAGAGTCCAGCCTTGGAAGACAAAAGAGGAGGAACCCAATAGAGGGATGCTTTTGGAAGCCCCTGTCAAGAAATTCCAATGCTAATAATTACTCTTGTCTTTACTTCTCCTTCACATCTCCTAGGCCCCAGTCAAGGAATTTCTTTTCTCCCTACAGTTAAATACATGATTTGGGAGTCTTTTAGATAGACCCACTGAAGGGGTACTCCAATTGCCTCACCCTGCATCCCTGTTCAGCATGGAAGAAGCCAGAGCAGTTTGCGTCCCGATTCCCTATTGGTAATTTGGGTAACCCCTTCAGAGGATGGCGTGGTAAGAATAGGAAGTAGGAATTGGCTAGGCAGTTAAGGGTAAAAAGACCCCAAAGAAAAGCAGCCAGTTTCTTGGCTAAATGTCAAAATGTCCTTGGGACTGTTAACAACATACTCTGTTCCAAAGGCCAAAAATGTCAAAAAGTATTTGGGAACTTGTATTTAATCTTTAAAAGATTTTAGGGTTAGGGGAGAATGTTAGAGTACCCAAAAGCCCCATAACAATAAATAAATGAAAGAAGAAAAAAAAGAAAAAGAAAAAGAAAAAAAGTGATGGGGAGATATGAGAGGTGTTGGAAGAGAGGGAGTGGGCATGGATTTGATCAAAACACCTTATATGCATGTATGAAATTCTCAATAAAGTTTTTGTAAAAGTTCAAAAAAAAAAAAAAAAGAACTGGGAACACAAGAAAGGATCCAACACTGAAAGCAAAACAGAAACAGACCTAACTATCTACTTGATAGCACAGTACTTACTGAAAGAACTAGAAGTAAATCTAGGTCATAGTCTGCTTTAATACCTTTAGTGGAATATAATGAGTTTGTAAAGACTATAAATAAAATTTGAAACTAATATTTAATTGCTAAAAGCAATACTGTAGCAATTTTGGAACTATAGTAAATGGATTTTAGGTTTGTTTGAATGAATAAACGAACTGATGTTATGACACCAAGCTGTCATTATGGAAATTGGCAATAAAATATACAATTTTTAAAAAAGAGTATAATTAGAAATATCAGGGCTGGAGAGATGGCTCAGTGGTTAAGAGCACTGACTGCTCTTGCAGAGGACCTGGGTTCGACTCTCAGTACCCACATGGCGACTATGAACCGTCCTTAACTCCAGCTCCAGAGGAATCTGAAGCCCTTTTCTGACCTCTGCGGCACTGCACAACATGGGTGCACTCACATACATGCAGGCAATACACTCATACACATAAAATAAAAAAGAATAAAATGTTTTTTTTTTAAAAAGGAATATCAATATCACTTTATACATAGATACATACCAAGTATGGATATTGTACGATCTCTATCAAGTGCTACCATCTGAAAATATCTTGCTTACCTATTTGTATCATTTAGATTAATATAACTCATTTTAAAAAATAATGTATTGATAATTTCATACATGCATATAAGGTGTTTTGATCAAATCCATGCCCACTCCCTCCCCTCCAACTCCTCGCATATCTCCCCATCACTTTTTTCTGATAACTTCATGTACTGTTTCTTCTTTATTTTTTTTGAATTGGGCTTTTTGCTACTCTAACATTCCCACCTCTGAAGAGGTAACCCAAAAATCTTTTGAGGATTAGGTAATTATATCTAAATTTTTCCCTTTGTAAATAATTCATTCTATACAGTGATACTGGAAGGTTACTTTCTGCCACTAACCTTCTATATAACTAGTCAACAATAGAGCTCAAACTCCTCAGCCACAAAATCAAGTACCCATATCACTTTGTCCTCAAACTACCATTCCAAAATTACGCATAACAGTTTTCTACTAACTGACTTTCCAACTATAACTTCAAGGAAAGGAGACTTATGAGTGATCAGATTCTGAACAAGAGATACATTCTAAAAGAAAAAAAGGAATTAAAATCAGTGTTTAATATTATTAGAAGGTAGTTATATGGACAAAGTAAGTGGAAATACCTGGGTCTTGGTTTTTATACTTTTGGGAACACAGCGTCCAGGAGAAGTAGCTTTAACCTCGTCTTTCAACTTGGTGATATTTTTTGTCAAAACCTCTAAAGTTTTCATTATTTCTGCTTTATCTTCAGACTTCATTGTTTTATTTTTCTCTAGTTTTGAAATCAGCATCTACCAAATTTTAACACAGAAGTAAAAGAGAGACTTAATCCTACTTTTGATAACAACGCAAATACAAAAAAAGTAGTTAACATAAATAAATACTATTTTTAGTTTATGTATTCTTGACAAAGCTAACAAGTATATAAAGATAGCAAGCAGACTTGGTGATGCTAACAATATTTTAACTCTGACAATCAGTTTACTTTGTAAAGCATTTTACTATTATTTAGCTCTCTCAGAATGTAAGTTTTGGATCAGAGAGATGGGATGATTACAAATTCTTTGAGTTAAGCTGTCTCCAGTTTTTTATGCAAAGCTTGTGACTTCTTTTTATAAAGAATATCCAAAATTAGGGGCTGGAGAGATGGTTCAACAGTTAAGAAGCACCGACTGCTCTTACAGAGGACCCAAGTTCGATTTCTAGCATCCACATGGTAGCTACGAACTGTCCTTAACTCCAGTTCCAGGGGAATCCAAAGCCCTTTTCTGACTTCCACGGCACTGCACAACACGGATGCATGTACTCATATACATGCAAGCAATTCACTCATACACATAAAATTTAAAAAAAAAGAATATCCAGGGTTTTTGTTTGTTTTTTGAAATAGTCTTACTATGTGGTCTAAGCTGGCTTCAAACTTAGCAATTCAAATGCCTCAACCTCCCTACAAGTGTTAGAAATACAATAGTACATCACTGTGTCCAATCAAAACATAGTTTCTACATTTTTAAATGTTCTACTACTAACCGTCATTTACAAGACACAGTAAAGAAAGAACTGACAACAATTAAATGTCACAAATTAGATCAAGACTATCCCAAAGAAATGTCATTTCCATTAAGTAATTTTTTTAAAGATTTACTTTATTATTTATTCATGTGTGTGTGCATGCATGCCACATATGTGTAGGTGCCTGAGGGCATCAGATCTCCTGGAGCAGGAGTAACTGGTGGTTGTGGATGCTGGATACTGAACTCAGGTCCTCTGGAAGAGCAGCAAGTGCCCTTAAATACTGAACCATTTCTCAGTCACACATGAGTAACTATTAATTATTTTATTATCAATCATATTAAAAAGACAAAGAAAACAAGTAAAATTAATTCAGTTACTTATTTAGCCTAACATACCAAAATTCACATTTCAACAAAAAATTACTAAGACATCTTTTTCCTTTCATTCTAGATCATTGAAATCTGGTATATATTTTATACTTATACCTCAATTTGGACTAGACACATGCCAAAATACCATAGGTAAGGCTTTTTAACTGCTCTATTGAAAAACTAAGGAAGCTGCCAAACCAGTAAAGAAAGGTATATTATCAACAGTGAAAAAATAATTCCATTCCATTATTCTTTGATCAAACTACTGTAACAGAGGTAATAGAATACCACCTTATTTCATTTCATTTTGATAACCATAGTTTCATTTAAACTCTGCCCATCATTTCATGTTTCAACTCCAAAATATCAATAATTTAATATATAATGTTGACGAATATCATGATAATTTTCATTTTACCATTACAAATTACAGTACATTTGCTTGTCTGAATGAATTAAATAGTGTAAGATTAAATTCGCTAAAAATTTACAACATTGGTAAATATTTTACCCAATATATTTTACCTTCTGTGTTTCAATGTGCTTTTCTAAAATTTCTTGCTTCCTTTTTCTTACATCTTGCTGAAGTTTCAGTGCCTCCTAGAGTTAAGAATCAAAAATTACCATCAGAGTATGACTAAGAACAAACAAAACAAGCCAAAAGAAGAAAGATGACTGTAATTGTAGAAGTACAGTAACAAACACAACAGACAAGTTTGTTCTGTACAACTTAAAACATTAAAGTTTCATCCCACACCTATCACTACCCCCCCACCCCAAGGCTCAGAGACTTTTGCGGAAGAGGCTGGGGGAAAGAATGTAAGAGCCAGAGAATGGATAGAGTGTTAACTTGAAGTGTCAGATCACTATACTGGCAAGCTATAGGCACACCTTCTTCCCAAGGAGTCCATGGGGGAGTCACTTACTCCCCCCACCCAGTCAGAGCTAAGGATATATAAACCAAGAACACCATGAGGCACCTCTCTCATGATTTTGTGCTGCCGGGAAGTCACAGGACCTGTATTTGAGTGTGGACTTTCCAGTGCTGCCGTAAATGGGGAAGGGGTGCACCCACTCTTCTGTAAATAAACTCGTACTCTATGCTCTGTTAGCAAGCCCAATAAACCCATTAAGATTTTCAAAAAAAAAAAGCTAATGAGCTAATGGATACCTTCATTATTCCACTAAAGTTGACTGCATGTTGGCAAATCCTTCAGTCTTTGATTTCTTATTCCTATTTTTCCTCCCTTAAACTTCATTGTATACATATTTTTATGTAACCTGCTTCAAGGTATTTCTGGAAAAATGTGTTAAAAAATGCCTCTCTTTGGAATTAAAAAAAAAAAACAAAAACGTAAATTTCAAAGATGAACCAGGGGAAAATTCCATTTAAAGAAAAAAAATACTATTTATTTCTATACAATAGAAGATCAATATTCAATAGCACTGAACATAAATGTACCTTTTAGCCTTACCTTGAGGTAAGTACTCTCACACACAGACAGAACCTCCTTATATACAAATTTGGTATGCTGTCTATACTTACCTGTTTTTTTTTCTGTGCTTCATTATTATCAACTGTGGGGGTGGAAACAAGTAAGGACTTTTGTGCAGCCTTCAAAGCAGCTGGATTATACACTGTTTTTGTTAGGCCAGTAGATGTAGACAACACCTACCAATAAAAATTTAGTATCTTAAAAAAATGTTACCAACCATTCATAATTTAAGTGTTGTTTTCTAAGAAACTGAACTTTAAAGCATAACTGTCAAAAGTTAGTATGCTGAACTAAATGTATTATATAGTTATAATAACTAAATCACATTTCATGATTTGAAAAGAATGATATGAGTGATAAGTCCTAAAACGAAAAAATTTTCAGTCACAAAAATTTATAGCAAAAGAAAAGAAAGGTCAAACATACACAATGTAAAATCAAAACAAAGCACTATTCTCTATTTCTAAGAAAATACTAGTTTCTGAATATATTACTATCTCAATTGACTAAAGGAAACATTACAAAGCCAGGGCACAGGTAGAAAATTAATGTCACCTTACAAAATTCCTAATTTGTAGTTCCAAAATAAATGCAGTATCACTCTTCATTCCTTTGCTAGCAATGCTCCATCTGCTTGAAGTGACCGTCTTCTCTTAAACCAAACTCAGGTTCAGCATACCCTAAAGGACTAATGATTTTTCTCTTCTGCCTAGTTCTTACATAAATTTTCTTTCTTTCAGCCATGATATAAAAATGCCACTTACTATTTTCAGCTAATATTAAGTACCTATTGAAAAACAGCCTGGTAGTATATGTCTTCCTTCCTATTTGCACTGTAAGGGCCCTGGAACAGGATCTGGTCTTTGTGCTTCTTGAACCAAAGTCTTATTAAACATGGAACTGTGAGACTATAGTTATATAAGGAGCACTTTAGGGGCCTCAAAATGTTCATCTATTAAATTAGGTTCATCTTGGTGGTGTTGAAAAATATAAACCCCAAAATCTCTCCTTTACATTTGGTTCATCACTGTATCTAAAATAGTGCCTTAAAATAATGAAATACTCAACATTTTCACACTAAATCAAACAGATGAAAACCTTTTAAAACACAACGTTTAACTGGGGCAAAAAAATGTTTATAGGCTGCTTTTTATTTCCTTCAAAACAAAAAATTTGTAAGTTCCACGAAGTTACAAGTTACCAGCTATTTAAGAGCCCCCTCTCTTTAGGTAGATCAAGAGATACTATAAAACCCAAACAAGTAGTCATGCACTGTAATTTTCCAGAAGAAAAACTATTGCTTATAATATCATAAAGAGTTCATTGGCTAAAAGATAATACAAAAACGCTATGGTATCAATGAGATAAGTAATCCCACATTTACACTACTAAAATGTTGACATATGCTCTATCACAAAGTAGCAATCTGGAGACCATTTTCTAATCTTTCATCATGAAACTGGAGAACAAAAAGTGAGCAACTCACCACTCTTCTAAATATACATGAATGTCTTAGAATCCAAATGAAAGCCTAGAATACTGTAATTATACTAATTCCGTATAGGACAACTGATGTTTTAAAAAGGAAAGGAAAATAATACTTGATGTGCACCAAAATTTGGTATGTAATTTTCTCCAAGGTAAAAACTGTCAGATATCACTAATAAGTATGAAATAGTTTCATATATTAAAATACAATAGTAAACAGATTTATTAGTTTGTTATTTAACTTCAATTACTGTACTGGAATAATTGTGGAGAATTTCTTCTACACTTACTTTACCATGTCAAGAATTGCCAAACTGTATTATTTTATAATGGAAAGGTAATAACTTGTAAGAGAAGAAACAAAAGGCAGCCTGCTTTAGGTCTGAGTATACTGTTTCTTCATGAGAACTCCCTACAAAGTTAAACCATGAGCAGAAAAGATCTCTATACTCAAATACATTGGAAATAGTGACTATCATAACCCTATTTTCCATGGCAAATATATATTATAATAAAAGGATAAAGCCAACCATGGAGGTGGGATAGGAAGAAACATAGGAGAGGGGGAATGGGGGAGGTGGTATTATCACAGGAGGGTAGGAATAAAGGGGGCCCTTGGGCTAGGGAGGGAGGAGGGAGCTTGGCTGGGGAAAGGAGGGATGAATGAATCCTGGGAAGACAGGGAATTGTGTTGGCTTGAAAACCCGCTGAGAAATATATATACAGTGTCTGAACATTAGTGCAGGAGTATACAAGGGAGCTGCATGGCAGGGAGTGCCATGCCAGATAGGAGAGACCTCCCTTTGAGTGGTTGGTCAGAGTAGTTTAAGAAACTCCCAAAACAACAAGAGCCATTGCCGGAACGCTTGGTTATCTCCCAGAACTCAAAAGTAAGACTGTACTGCTGAAGACAGGTCATAATTTGGACACAGGACTTGGAGCAAGGGAGTAGGAACTGACCTGGAAGTCTTCCCTGAAGACTAGCTCTCATAGTTCTAGACAATACTATGCAAGCTGCTAAAGGAGAAAATCAATCAACAGTTCAACCCAGTCCTAAAGCCGAACAAACATAATGACTGGCACAGCAAACTACCTCTATTGGTGCAGTAATGGCACTGTTATCTGGGGGTGCTATTCAAGAGCTATCTAATTGGACTTAAAGCCCTCACAACGGGAGTGAACTCATGAGTGGCACTGTAATTATAGCCAAATACACATGGCTGGTAAGGTCATAGATCCTAGAGAAAACCCTACCTCTACCACATCTCTAAACAAATGAAATTTCTTATCCTTATATATCCTTATATTTTACAGTATACCACTCATCAAGGAAGCTTCTCTTTGCAACATATGGAGGCTACTACAGAGTTCCATAACTGGACACATACAGAGAATATATGCCTGGGAGATGCCCAGCCCTTGGTGACATATTCAGTGAAACCTCTACACATGAAATTCAAGGAACATAGTGGAACAGGGGGTGGAGAGAATACTGGTGCATCCCTCAACTCTCACCAGCAAAGCTTCCTTATACAACAGAGGGGGATGCACACAGAAGGTCACAACTGGCTAAGTTTTTGAGAATAAAAGAGTGCAGAGTGTGTGTCCTTGGATAGGACTCCAACATTAAACCTCACCCACCCACAGCTCAGGGACCGCTGCAGAAGAGGGGGTGGAAAGACTGCAAGAGCCAGGGCTGGTTCATGAACATAGGGAAGCAAAGGTTTTCAGGACACTGGAAGCTTGCACATGTGGACTTGTGGCAATGGTGGCATCAAGCACAGACTCCTGCGAACTCAATCAAACAATGGCCCAGAATGGAAGAAGGAAAATGGGTGGTGGGCCAGGCCTAGTCTGGGAACTACTGGAGACTGATTACTACTGAGTGAGGGAGAGTAGGCTGATTAGGCTCCAGTGGATGAATCTGCACCAAAAGACACCTGGGTACAAATGTTTGACTGGATAGGACTTAACATGTATGGTGGAATACATAAGGATCGGTGAGGGTTTGGAAGACATGGATGAGGGAGGGGGTCTAAATTTGATTAAGAACTGTGGCATGAAATGTACAAGAGTTATAAATGTGTGTGTGTGTGTGTGTGTGTGTGTGTGTGTGTGTGTGTGTATGCACATATATTTGTCTTTTTCAGACAGGGTCTCCCTGTAGCCCCAGCTATCCAGGAACACACTACATATACATAGACCAGGCTGGTCTAAAACTCACAGAGATCCACCTACCTCTGCCTCCCAAGTGCTGGGGACTAAAGGTGTGTGCCACCACGTTGATAAAAATATTTTTTTAAAAAGGATAAACCCAGAAGTAAAGAAACTTGTATATACAATTTATTTAATCTAATATTTCTCCAATTCCAGTGAATAAGCATGCTTTGTTAGGCCTCCTGAACATCCTATCATGTTAAGGAGTGCCAGTTCAAAGTTAAGTATCTGACCAGAACAGAAGACTCCTTTATTCCTACAGGCAGTTCCATATTGTTATTTTATCCAATAATTTCCTTCTGCATGGTAATAGATTTTAGAAAGACTCAATCTCAAGGACGCCTACTTAAAAACAAAAAACAACAACAAAGAGCTTCCAATTATAACCATAAATACCAACAAATGAAATACACTCAAATTTCAAAGGTGCTAAAATGCAAAAATAAAGTATGCCTTGGAAATAATGAACTGTATGCTTGTAAATACTGTTCATTATCTAAATCTATTTGGTTCTAAAGTTTAAGTAATAGGAATCTGAATACTAATGACTATCCACACTTTTCAAGATTAAAATTTATAGGGGCCTGGTGGCACATGTGAGGAAAAGAAAGGAAGACGGTAGGCCAGCCTTGGCTATATATTGTATTCCAAGCCAGTTTAAGCAAAAGAGCAAAACTCTCTCTCTCTCAAACAAAAAGCCTCCATCCCAGAGTACAGCTTAGTAGTTCAATGGTTGTTGAGCATGTAGAAGGACATGTGTTAGATCTCTAGAACTGTCAAAAAAAAATTAAAGTTAAAAATGAAACCGGTAAAGGAAGCCAGCAAATCCATCAAACAAGATTGTGTTACAATTCCTAAGAAAGAACACAGAGTGTGGGTAGAGCCCTTTCCAAATAACCACACTACTTCTGTTTTTCCTTTCTGTTTTTCATGTAAGTTTTACACATTGACATAACGTTGGTTTAATTTCTAGTGTTGTTAACTGAACTCACCTATTAATCTCAACTATTTCTAAATTATTTTCTACATATATAATCATGCCATCGATGTAGAAACAGTTTTTGTTTCCTCCTTTCTAAACTTTATAATGGTGTATTTCATGTTCTCACTTTATTGCACTGGTTAGACCCTACAGAACAAAATCAAAAGAAAATAATTAGAGCAGACATCTTTGCCTCATTCTTAATCTTGGCAACTGGGTGGGGGGCATTAAATATATTTTACCAATATAATTTAATGTTAGTTCTAGTGGAGCAGGATTCAAACATTCTTCATCAAATTAAAAATTCAGTCTATTCCTACTTAACCATGTTTAACATTTCACCAAATGTTTTTTCTACTCAGACAGTCATAATTGGTTTTGCTCCCTTATGATGCTAATACGATCAGTTGAACAAATTTTCTAATCAATCTTGAATTTCTGGAATAAATCTTTGCAGTCCAAGATGTACTGTGTATTTTACCTATCAATGGAATTTGCTATTTGGAATATTTGTTCCTACAGTCATAATGGGTATTGGCTTGAAGCTTTCCTTAACTATAGTATCCTTGTCAGGTTTGATATCAAATATAAACCAAGAAGGTAAGTGAAAAGATACATCATGTGCTATGTTTTTACTAATGCCTCCTATTTTCTTTTTAAAAATTTTTGGTGACTATATTTATTTTATGTATATGAGTGTTTGCATGCAAGTACACCGTATGTGCAATGCCCATGGAAGCCAGAATAGGTCGTTGGGAGTCCTTGGAACTGGAGTTAGGACGAGTGTTAGCCACCATGTGTAATCTTAGTCCTCAGCAAGAGCAGTCAGTGCTCTTAACCACTGAGCCATCTTTTCAACCCAAGACTTCCTATTTCAACACAAAATTCAATTCCCTAAATAGGTACCATTCCATTAACAACATTTTTATTTTCTATGTAAAATATTATCGGTAATACTATCAGTACATGAAATAAAAAAGATTTTTCTTGCTGATAAAAACGAAAGGGAAAATACTTTTTAAAAAACAAAGTTACTATATAAGATTAAGTCATTAAAGGATCAATTTTAAAGGACTACTGCTCAAATTGAAATGTAATATTGAAGAATGCAGAAAATTCACAGTAAGTAGCTCTAACAGGTAAAGCAAAAGGAGAAACATAGGAAGATTAATATGGTCAATTCTTTGAGTAAGTAATCATCTTTCAGCAAATCTGAATATGAAGCAGCTTGCCAAATGGAGAATTCTGCAAGAATACGATTTAAAGTTACACATATAAACTATTTTAGAAACACTTTTTTCAAGAATATCATTTTTTAAAATTCACTTAATTGATCATATCTTTTATTTAAATTCTGTAAGAACACGATTTAAAGTTACACATATAAACTATTTCAGAAACACTTTTTTAAGAATATCTTTAAAATTCACTTAATTGATCATATCTTTTACTCTTTAAAGATATTTTTTAAAAACTTTAACAAAAATTGTATGTTTACCATGTATAACATATCTTTAAATATGTATGTGTGTGTCTAAATGGCTAAACTAAGTTAGTACTTGCATTACCTCATACTTGTGGTTGTGAGAACACTAAAAATCTACTATCAGCAATTTTCAAGAGTCAATTGAAATACTCTATGATTTCAACCATGTAGTAAACCTTGTGTTTATGTTCTGAACTTACTCCTATTTAGCTGAAATTTTACATCCTTTAAACAACATCTCCATAACTTCTTCCCCTCAGCTCCTGATAACCATCATTCTACTGTTTCACGAGTTCAACTTTCTCTCTTCTTTATATGATAAAAGAAATGCAGGGATTAATGATCTTGCAGAGAAATATTTTAACAAATACCAAAGAAAAACTGTTTACAATCCACATCAATTTTTGCTACAACCACTTAGTTCTCACAAAGGACAGCAAATCTTTTAAATAAGTCATATTTTCCTGAAAGAAAATGTAATCCAGGAACATATTAAAAATTTAAAAACTATTGGTAATAGGAAAGGAAAAACAACATAAAGTCCCAATCTTTGGATTAAACTAGCACCAGTTGTGTCAGATCCAAATTTAAAATCAAAAGGTAATCAGAACTATGTCTTACAGTTAAAAGAACAAAGAAACTTCAGTGCCATATACAATGGCAAGTGAGCAATTGAAGTCTCTTAATGCAGCTTGATTATTCCACACAATTTCCCCTTAAAAAAATCCAAGTACAAATATCAACTCCTCATCATGCAAAGAGGCCATGCTGCATCTTACACAACAAAAACACATCACTATAGAATCAATATCTGATCAAAAACTTAATATCTAAAACTGATGCTAGACAAGAGGACATTTAATTAGCAGGGAAAATGCATTCTAGAAATACCCCAATAGAAGCTGGCACTAGAGACAAAAAGTGATAGACAAAGAATAGGCTAGAAAGGTGAGTCAGAGACAAGGAAGAGTCAGAGAGAGAACAGGAGAGAGGTATACAAGGAGACACACACAAAAAGATGCTCCCCAAGGTAGAACAGACAAACTAGAGCAAAAGTAACAGAATGGCACTTATTAAGGGATCTATGGGCTGTGAATTAAAGTAATTTTAGCTAAAATATTCAAATTCTCTATAATAAATAATTGAAATAGGTCTGACAGGATAGCAACACTAGAAAAATGAACCAAGACAATTCTAAGATACCAGAAAAGCCAAGGACCTGAAGGAAGTAGAGGAAAAGGTAATAGACTATAAAACTCAAGCACATGGCCTCAAGTTTTAAGATTATACTGCTTAGAAAAATCACTTCTTGAGGTGAGGACTAGAAGATAAAATTAACTTCTGTATGGGAAAATATTCATTCCAGACACTGAGATGACCAAGAGGAAGTGCCTGATGCACAGACTGAATTTCAAATTTCTAGAAATGGCAAAGTTTAACAAAGTAAAAAAGGGAAACAATACACTAAGAAAGGAATGGTGACAGCACGACTGCTATCTCACTAGATGCTTTGTTTGCTTTCAACATGAATTTCCTCTGTAATCTTCGGACTGGAAAGAGCCATGGCGGGAAATAGGAGACAGAAGCGCTAGTCTGGCTCAGTAACTCCTAACATCCAGATTAAATCTTAAACCCTTTGTGGTTTTGGTGTATTTGGTCTTCAGGATCATTCAATTTTAATATTCTATGATTTCACATAACTTAAAACTACCTACCAGAGTAGTCACTCATATCTAAACATGAAAACAACACATATCTATTCAGAAGAAAAATTCACAAGTGGTCTTAATAATCTGTATGTACCGTCTCATTTTTACAAAGAAATAAGCCTATGTATAAACTGTTAATAATAAAATGTACACCATCTTTCCTATTTACAAAATACTTCAAGAAAGCAAGGCAAATATTACCATCACCAGTCAAATATTACCATCACAAGTAAAAAGATTCAGAAAGGTTAAGAGCACTGCCCAATAACATGCAGTTAGTAAAATGAAGAGCCAGATCAAACTCAGATAAAATTCCTAGTTCATGACCCTTTCTATTAGGCTGCCAGTTTTCAAACTAAAATGTACAATGTGTCTAAAGAAATAAATATAAAACAAAAAATGGAGTACATGGAAATAAGAGAAGCAAATATTTAAATGCTGATGCAAAAAAAAAAAGGATAAGGCGAATATTTTTTCTTTTTTAGCAAATATAAAGCAAATAGGTAGGGGTAAGAAATATAGATACGATTAAGAAGCAGGAGTTTGGAGCTATGAGGAAAACTAAAAATTAAGATGCCACCTGAAAACATTTATGAAGCCAAGACAAACACATCATGCTATTCTTACCTTTTCAGTTGCTGAAACAGATGGCTTTGATACAAAACCCAACCTGTCCTTCACAGATAATTTAGTTACATTCTAAAAAAATTAAAATGGACATATTCAGTGTTTCCCCAAACACAAAAGAAGTCTGCTGGGATTTTGAACATCCTGATACTACTAACAGATACTGAATTTGAGCATACCAACACTAATTACAGAAACTTAGGCCTTTTTTTTACAAGACACGGAGAGACAGGTAGAAGGAAAAGGGAGAAGGAAAGGAAAACAAAGGATTAGGGAGAAATGTGGAAAGAAACAAAATAACTTCAATATTAATCATGAGAAATTATTATGTCAAGTTAGTCCTTAAGCAGATGGTTTCTATGTCCCTTCCACAGATATGTAATCATAAATTCTTGCAACCTTTGTTAACAAGTACAAAATCTGCATATTTTAAAATAGACTTGAGTAATAAAAAAATAAGAAAAGTATCTACTTCCCTAGCTTAAAATTAAGTGCTATTCTTTCCTAAAATGTTTATAACTAAATATACTGTATTTCCTGATTATGTGGACTTTTTTGGGGGGTTCTTTTTGAGACAGGGTCTCCCTGTAGCCCCAGCTGTCCTGGAACTCACTATGTAGACCAGGCAGGCCTTGAACTCACAGAGATCCGCCTGCCTCTGCCTCCTGAGTGCTGGAACTACAGGCATGCACCACTACACCCAGCTTGGATACAATTTTTTAAAAAATAACAATTCACCAGCTGGGTATGGCGGCACACACCTTTAATCCTAGCACTAGGGAGGTAGAGACAAGCATATTTCTATTAAATCAAGGCCAACCTGGGGCTACAAGTTCCAGCTATGTGGGGCTACAGGGGGACCCTGTTTAAAAATAAGTACAAAATTTAAAAACAGAAAAATCACCAATTTGTATCAAAAATCTGTATAGGATCTCACTATCTTACACTTCAGGAATTACCTGGAAAGAACATGTTAATAACATGACATCTATTAACTAAATAAGATAATTCTATTTTACACAGTGAATCTTGAAACATCTGGAGAAAAAGGACTGTTAAATTCGTAAGCCTGAGGTTTAGCAATAAGAAATTGCCACTAAGTACGAAAGAAGCAGGAGGGGAAAAAAAAACCTGACATATGGAAGAATATCCCACAATCCGTAATAAGTAAAGTTCAGAGCAAGGTGAATTATTTCTTTAAACAATATAAGGCTGGGCATGGTGGCGCATGCCTTTAATCCCAACACTTGGGAGGCAGAGGCAGGTGAATCTCTGTGAGTTTGAGGCCAGCCTTGTCTACATAGTGAGTTCCAGGTCAGCTGGGGCTACAGGGAGATCCTGTCTCAATATATATATACATATATATATATATATAATCAATCAAGCATGCTTAACCTGACGTCTTAAGCTGTCCCTTCCCAAAAGTTTTTCATTCATTCTACTGCACAATTATCTAGAGAACAGAATTCTAAGGAAGTAAAAAGATGATGAAAAAAGGAAGATTTGGTATACCGAACTTCACTCTTCAAGCAATTTTGTTGGAATAATCGCCTCAAAGTGAAAAAGACATCTTTCTCTTAAGTATTAACTAGAAAAAAAAAATTTAGATTCAAATACCATAGCAGAAGACAGTGAAAATGTTATGGTAAAACTAACTTACATATGGAGCTCAAATATATAAAGATCCTATTTCTATGTAGAACATGAACTATAATTCTAGTTACCAAGGAAAACTAATTTACTGAGAACCTATGATTTGACAGGTACATTAAGGCTGCCTTCTACTTACCTGGGGAAGGTCTGAAGTAGCACTCTGGGCTTCTGCTGGTTCTATAGTGCTTGAAGGTACTGGACCCAACCGCTCTTTGACTGACTGTTTCACAATAGGCAAAATGGGCTGCTGGACTAATGGCTGTATTACCTCAGAACAGGAAACACAATTAAGCAAGCTGGTTAGTACAGGAGCGTGAAAAGTAACCTTTGTGATTTTGGACTCAATCGTCCATACACAGAAGTTTAAAATACAGCTTATAACCAAACCTTTCAATTTTCTCCATGTGTATAAACTTTCTTTGCAAAAAAAAAAAAAAACGACTTATAAAAGTATAGGAAAAGCCAGGCATGGTGGCACACACCTTTAATCCCAGCACTCAGGAGGCAGAGGCAGGCAGATCTCTGTGAGTTCAGGGCCAGCATGGTCTACATAGTGAGTTCCAGGACAGCTGGGGCTACAGGGAGACCCTGTCTCAAAAAAAAAAAAAAATAAAAGAAAAAAACTAAAATTAATTTTTTTTGTTTAAAAAATAAAAAAAAAAAAAAAGTATAGGAAAATACTGAAATTCATCTTATCTGTTTCAACAATCAAAAAACAAGCTCGTCTAAAACACCTCTGCAAACAATCAATCCAGCATTTTCTCTAGGGAAAAAAGTGAGAACAAGGGAAAGAAAACAGAATTCCTAGGATCACTGCATTGTCTCAAATTTATGATATATATACAGGTACCACTTAATGAGAGAGCACTTTCCATAGACTGTTCTAAATGCTTTACATACCATACCATTTTATAATTCTCTAAACCAAGACTAACCTCACAGTTTAATGAAAGAATACTTTGGCGAAGTTAACTTTCTCTAGCCTCTACAGTTTAAAAGTAAAGTCAAGATCTGAATACATGTCCCTGGCTCAAATGCCTCTGTTTAAACACTGTGTTGAGATTCCCAAGAAGGATTCAATTTCTCACAAATTTCTCTCTTACCTTTGGAGAAGTAGTTTGTAACTGTTGAGTAGTTCCTTCTCTGTGCCAATAAACCTTAATAAAACGATTATTTAATACTGCTTCTGTACTTGAGATTGCTTTCTTTGCTTCTTCATATGTTGCAAATTGGATAAGGGCACCTTCAGGATCACCATTATAGGCAACCTAAGATTTAACATATTAATGACAATTTACTTCTAAAAAGAATGTGTGAATTTACACAGTAAATCCCTAAAAAATACTGGTTTTTCCAAGTGAGATCCTATCGTTCTGCCTCCTATCGTACCTACGTTATCACCACAGCCTACATTTATTCCAGGAGAAACCACAACCAAAGACTACTCATAGAACAAACAAAGTCCTTTCTATTTAACAGTAGAGAATGACAACCACACAAATGTTATTCAGAATGTTTCTTTTCATAACTCCAATCTTAATAGTATCTATGAGAAATAATTCCTTACAATGAGTGACATAATCAAGATCCATATAGACTGGAGAACACAATAAACTAGTAATTTACTGGTAATATCTGATAAAAATTATAGAAGATCCCATCTGCACAATATCCCAAATTTGTAATTCTCACAATATTTTCAAGAGCATGAGAAAAAGTTTAAGCAAAAAATTAAAACTTTTAAAAAGATCTACATAATAGCAGCATTAGCCACATCTGACATGCAAGGAATATGATTATTCAGACCCATACACTTTATGTGGTGTTTTTCAAATTATATAAACCACAGGTAAGTGTGTCTCCATAGACAGAAGATTAACAGTGCAGTCTACATCAAATTGCCTAGTGCAATCATTAGCTGAATGTCATATGAACAGGTAATGCCATGTAATTTTTCTTGCGAATAAGTCATTTGACGTTTTGTGCTTCCATGTCTTCTAAAAATAAGATTTTCAACAGAATTCACTCCTTCGTGCTATTTTAAGAATTAAAAAAAAAAAAAAAAAAAAACTCAACCGGTATGGTGGCACATTCTTTTAAACCCAGAACTCAGGAGGTAGAAGCAGGCTGATCTTTGGGTTCAAGGCCAGTCTGGTCTACATAGTGACTTCCAAGCCAGCTGAGGCTACAGGGAGACCCTGTCTCAAAAAGACCCAAAAAAAAAGTGGAATAGATTATAGAAAGTGTATTCAATAAACAGTAGGTATAAGAATGATTTTAGGCAGCATTTTCATTATACATTTATTAAAACTTAAAAACATTATCATCGCCAATGTTTTGAATGATCTTGAAAAACATGTATTTTATAAATAATGTAGCATGCAAAAGGAACAGCAAAAGGAACAATAAATGAAAGATAACAATCTCAGTATTAATTACAGAAATGAGAACAGAAATGAGATAAATTTTGCTATTCAGCTTTGATGCATGTTTTACATTATATTACCAGTATAGTTAGTTATGTGAAGAAAACAATATCCTGAGAACTTTTTTTAATGTCTAGATATAAATGTGGTACATAGGGGCTGGAAAGATAGCTCAGTGGTTACTTGCTACTCTTCCAAAAGACACAAGTTCAGTTTCCAGCACCCATGCTAGGCAACTCACAATGCCTTTAACTCCAACTCCAGGATTTCAGACACTTTCTCCTGGCCTCTGAGGCCACAAGTGGCACAAACAAGTGGCATATACTCATACAAACATCTATGCACATATACATGTGTATAAAAATTTAATAAAATTTAAAAAATGTTATATACAAAACCGAATTGTTATCAAGACATAGTCAAGATAAAACATACAACTACAGGGTAACCTTCATACTATGACCTCATCAATATTTTCAGGTTTATATTTGGACCCAGAAATATAGAACAAAAAAAGTCTAGAAAACACATAGTAATTCTTAATAATATAGGTATAACATATGGAATGTCCATAAGGAATGAGGAAAGTGCTGAAAAGAAAACATTTTCTTTAAATTCTTTATACATTTATATTGCCCTATCCTAAACACACATTTTTCCCCTCTATTACTTTTAATATAGTACTTTTAAATAGGAAGAAAGTTTCCAAACTATCAACCTGAGATGAGCTAAACCCTCTAAAATTTCATTTTTATTGAAATATAAAGCATAATGAAAAGTTGGACACTGGGAGAAAAAAAAAATCTCAACATATTATTTCAATACTTTCAACCTACCATTAAATGTCCATTAATAATACCTTTAAAACTCCAGTTTTTTATTTTTTTATTTTATGTATTGAGTGGTATGCTTAATGTATGTAAGTGCACTCATGTCATGTAATGCCCATAGAGGACAGAAGAGGGTGTCAGATTCCCTGGAACTGGAGTTATGGACAATTGTTAGCTGCTATGTGGGTGCTGGGATTTGAAGCCGGGTCTTCTCCAAGAGCAGTCAGTGCTCTTAACTACTTAGCCATCTCTCCAACACCCTAAAAACTCTCGTTTTAGACATCTAAGCTAAGGTTTAATTTTAGGCAAAGTCAAATATATATTATCATTATCTTGAAGGATGTTCAAAGATTGTTAAAGAAAAAATGTTTAATTACAAACTTCATGGTTACTTCAGCCCCAAAAATGTCTGTCAAGTGTATTCTACGCCCGAAGTGGTAAAAATAAATATGAAGTAGTCAGATGATGAAATTATCTTAAGAAACTGAGAAACTGAAGGTTTCTATAAATATTAGATTTTTACTAGTGTGATTATTTAATTTGCCACAGTTCTATGGCAACCTCTACAGGTAAGAAGTTTATATTAATATGACCAAAGTTCCTGCTTTGGGATAGGAAAAAAAAAACAAAGAACACTCCCCAATATATACACACAACTTTTTCTATAAGGTAAAGTTTCATGTCATGTCTATTTATGACTTATATGTGGTATATATTCCAAGGGATCATGTGTTGGAGGTTCAGTTCTTAGTGCAGTAATCCTGGTAAGTGGTATGAATCTTTTAAGAAATAGAGCCTAGTGACAAGTCACTGAAGGGAGCTGCCTGTACAAGGTCTCATAGATCCCTGAGAAGCAAAAGTCATTAGGAGAGTGAGTATAACCCCTGAATTGCTCTCTGAATTCTTGTTTTGAGATGCAATCTCTTCTTCCTATATAGAGTCCTGCTATTCTGACACCATCCACCAGCAATCTCTAATTAGAAGTCAAACCAATATTACCACTTGATCTTTGACTATCAAGGCTCTGAAACTATAAGCCAATGATTATCTCTTTTCTTGGATAAGTTACCTTGTCTCCAGTATTTCATTATAGTAACAGCAAGCTAACACAATATCCAATTTCTCAACCTTAAAATCTTAACAACTTTCTATATTTCTTTGTAAGTTTCCTTAAGTTCTTTAAATAAACACCAACAAGAGAATCATTGCATAGCTCTTACCTGTAAGTTAACCAATGTTCCAAATCGACTAAAATGTTCATTAAGTTTGCTGATATTATTTAATTCTGGAGGAACTTTCCTAAGTTCAAGTTTGGTATTTTCATTTCCAAACTGAACCTTCTTCTGGAAACCTGGGCTGTTTGTCCTATTAAAATTTGGTCTGTAAACAAAAATCAAATTGATAATATATTTAGAAATCCTGGCTCTAACTATTACAAAGAAATAAAGTTTTATATCTAAAACAAAAGCCCTTAATTAAATCAATTTTTCCCCAAAACTGAAGTACTACTGGATAAGTACATTTAAGTTTTCTTCCAAAGAACAGTTTCCAAATTATTAGTGGTAGCAGCTTTTATGGAAGTCAACTGAGACGGTTCTGTTACACCTCTTGTCACTTTTCACTTTTGATTTGCTGTTACTTATTTTTAGCTAAAAAGGTATTACCACCTGCATTTAGTCATACTGCAGATATTTCTGCCCCATTTCTGTAAGTTAGCTTACTGAAGGATATCCCTTTTTAAGATTTCAATTAAATTTAAATATTTTGATGCAAAGATGATCATACCTCAACCTGTTCCTAGCTTAAAATTAAAGGAAAAAAAAAAAAAAAAAAAAAGGGACATACCATACATTTGGCACGTGAAAAGAGGACATAACTGTGATCCCAAAAGGTTACTTTTTTGCCTACACACATACAAATTTCTAAATGAACCATCACACTCTCTAATACTCTGATTCTTCCTTTCTCCAAAAGCTCTTTGTAGTTCCTATTAGGAAGTGCCTACATGCTAAGATCTCTTCCCAGATTTTCCACATTTTGTTTCCCTGATGATAGAGGGCTCATAATTATCCTGCATACAGCTCATATTCAATAACATGTCTAACAGGTCTAAGTAAGCAGTTTTTTTTTAGAGAGGAAAGAAGAAAATTTTGTTCTCAACTACCTCACTTTTATAAGAAAATGTTTTTGTAGTATGAAACTAAATTTCTAGAATACAACACATATTAGTTGAAAACTGCTTATAAAACAGAATTTAACATTTTTTAAAGAAAACTATATGGTCACAATAATACACAATAATCAATGTACAATAAAATTCTTCAGTCTTCTCTGCCAGCTTACTTATCAAACCATGTCTTCTTTGTAGGAGCTCCAGGTTCCCCAGACCCAATAGTTCTTTTCCTTGATTCTGAATCTACTACTATCCTCATGCTGCTTTTATTAGGTGGCTTTTCTGTGTTAAAAAAAAAAAAGAAAATATATATTAATATTTTTGTGCTTGCAACAGTTTTCTTTAAATTCACATAAAAATGTTCAGGCTTTTAATCCAAATCAATATATTTCATAAGCAAAAGGAGAATTATATTAAATATATTTCCTAGAGATTTTTAACATACTTTAAATACAGTCTTTCATTTCATGCTTAACTCTAAGACTCAGTAATGCTCACATGCCATATTAAAATGTGATTCTGTAGACCACTTCTTTACGTATATGAGTGTTCTTCATGTATTTAAGTGCACCACATACATGTGCTCACAGAGGACAAAAGAGGGCATCAGATCCCCCAGAACTGTAGCTTCAAGCAGTTATAAGCTGCCATGTGGATGCTGGGAACCAAACCTAGGTCCTCTGCAAGGGCAACCAGTGCCTTTAACTATTGAGCCATTTTTCTAGCCTCTAGGCTACTTCATTAAGGGTAAAATCCATGTCACTATTCCAATCGTCCATCATTCTCACAATAACCCAAAACATAAATAAACCACCTGGATACTTTAAGTTCAGAGTTTTAAAATCAAAGGCACACTATAAGCTCAAACATAATAATCAAAAGACTCTGAGAATTGATAAATTGTAAACTGCTAAACAGCAAGACACTAACAAAGAAATATTCAAGACTGAAATGCAGTACAAAAGAGGTATAAATACCCACTACTTTCAGTATTTTGCACATAGCTAGTAAAACAACGTTAGTACAATTTTGTCTTACTTTTCATGTATTCTACTATCTCACTAGGCTTTTACTTCCAGATTTCCCTGGTCACCGATTTAAACATAAAGACAGAGCCCTCAATATGTTTTTGGGCCCTACTGCTTTACTCCATTTTCTACCTTTCCCATGACACTAGAGCATTCCATCAACACTTAACATCACAGCTCAAATGACTCCATTTTTATAAACAAATAACTCTTCCTCCTGTTTATAATCCACACAGGAATATCTATCAAGATCTTTGTTTTAGAAATATAGAAAAATTATGAGGGCAATTAAACCACTTTTCCATTAGTAATGTCATGGCATAAAAGATCCTAATGTCTTGTATTTATTTAATAATTCAACATTCCGTATCAAGATTTAAAGTATTAAGCATAAAAGTACAATTATCAGTCAGACATGGTGGTGCAGGCATTTAATCTCAGCACTGGGAAGGTAGAGGAAGGTGGATTTCTGAGTTCAAGGCCAGCCTAGCCTACAGAATGAGTTCCAGGACAGTCAGAGCTACCTAGTGAGACCCTGTCTCAAAAAAAAAGAAAGAAAAAAACAATTATCAAATAATATCCCATAATAAACTAAGATTAGTCAGGCTACCAAAACAGCATGGTTATTACATTACATTATTGTAAGTTTTCAGGCTTTTTTCTTTTTTTTTTTAATCTATCACAATCTAGGAGAAGAAATTTGAAACCCAAACAAGGGACACATCTGAACATACTGAGAGAAAAGTAAAAGGACTGAAAAAAAACACAGAATTAGTACAGACAAATATCAGTTTAAATTGGTTTGCTAAATCAGTTGTTTGACACATTAAAAATATAGTTATTAATGTAGACTATATTCTTAAACCACCTCACATTACACAATGACTATGCAAAAAGGCATTCAAATTTCTAAATTAAGTATGCCAGATATTTATCTCTCAATAGGAACATGTCATGTAACTTGCAATAATAAGCATGAAAAGCTGAAATTACCATAATCCCAATGGCAATATGGTGAAAATTTATATGTAAAGGGTTTGATCTCCCTCAAGTTAGTCTGGAACTGGACTGGGTTTAGGAAGTATTATTACACTGTAATGGCACATATTTATTTATGCCATTTCAAAGAAGCAAGACAACACCTTTTTTTGAGACAGGGTCTCCCTGTAGCCCTAGCTGGCCTAGAGCTCTCTACGTAGACCAGGGTGGCCTCAATCTCAAAGATCTGCTTCCCTCTGCCTCCTGAGCACTTGGATTAAAGTTGTACACCACCATACCTGGTCTGTAAGAAACAGCTTAAAATAGCAGTTATCAGTAAAAGCAGGGATTATTGATAAGACTTCTTTTTAAAAAATAGGAAAGTACAGGGGCTGGCGAGATGGCTCAGTGGTTGGGAGTGCTGACTGCTCTTGCAGAGGACCCAGGTTCGATTCCCAGCACCCACATGGCAGCTATGAACCATCCTTAACTCGAGTTCCAGGGGAATCTGACGCCCTCTTCTGATCGCTGCAGCACTGCACGACACAGGTGCACTCACATGCATGCAGGCAATATACTCATATACATAAAATAAGTAAATAAAATACATTAAAAATTTTAAAAGAAAAAGGACAGTGCAGAATTGAAGAGATAGCTCAGTGATTAACAGCAAATACTGCTTTACAGATGAGCTGAGTTAAACTTCCAGGAAAAAAATCTGGAGGTTCCCAACCACCTACAATTCCAAATCTGGGTGCTCTGACACCTTCTTCTGGACTCCATGGGCACCTGCACTCACACATGCATACACACACACACACACACACACACACGCACACATGCACGCACACGCACACACACACATACATAAAGATTTTCATATATTTTTAACTAAGTGCTAAAGTGACCCAAAGAAATAAAAGTAACCAAGCCAGGAGTGGTGGCACATACTTTTAATCCCAGAACTTGAGAGGCAGAGGCAGGCGGATCTCTCTGAGTTCAAGGCCAGCCTGGTCTACATATCGAGTTCTAGGCCAGCTGGGGCTACAAGGAGACCCTGTCTCAAAAAAGACAAAAAAAAATAAAAAGTAACCAGAGCAAGAGAGGAACTCAAAGGATAGATAAGCATCACAAGCAATTATAATTTTAAGGGGCTATTTTTCCACTACAGGCAATGTTTACAGTGTATATCTCTTGCATAGAAGCAATTTAAAAATTTTTTTTTCTATCATTGATGATGATAATCATTAAATTGCCTCAAGGAGAATTTCAAGGTTCATTCAAGCTTGGATCTGGTGGCATATGCCTTTAATCTCAGCACTCAGGAGGCAAAGGCAGGAGGACCTCTGTGAGAGCTAGGTCAGCCTAGTGCACACAGCAAGTTCCAGTCCAGTCAATGCTACATATTGTGAGACCTTGTCTCAAAAAACAGATTTTTTAAATTAAAGTATATTCAAGAAGTATATACATTAAGGATCTCAGAGAGGGAATAAAAATGAATAGGTCCCTATGATAGCTAAAAGAGAGGATAAACTTGAATTAGAATGTTCCTCGCATCCTACCACAAAAAGTTCTTCAAATATACATGGAAGATGTTTAGAATCTGACAGACTGCAAGAAGCAACTTAAAGACAATAAAGTGTAAGCCATCATATAGGCAATGTTTTTAGTTGCACTTTTATATGCAACTGAAGAGCTTGATATTTTTATTCTACTTGATAAGAGAAAAAAAGCTAGAATCAAGTAAGTTTCAAAAGCTAAGTGACATAAGAAAAAAAGATCTATTTTTACTAGCCTATATAGCCTGTATAGTTCCTTTTGTGTCTGACAATCTGCATTTTCTCCTATCTTGCTATCTGAAGATGTATTTTTTCAGATTAAAGTGAAGTTTCTACAGCCTCTAAACCAGTTTAACCTCTAGCATAGAACTTTTGCTGCCTTGGCTCAGTCTAATCTCTATCTTGTAAAAATTTAATCAGAAAGTCTGTCTCCTCATGACAATTTTAAAAGACGAGTCGATTCCTACCCATATTTCCTTTTGATTAAAAAATATGAAACTGTATCCCAGCACCCACATGCAGCTCAACTGTCTGTAACTCCAGTTCCAAGGGATCTAACACCCTGTTCTGTCCTCCACAGACCCTGCACATATGTGGTGAATATACACTCATGTCAGCAAAACACTCACACAAAATAAAATAAACCTTAAAAAAAGAAGACAGACAAGATGATTTAGCAGGTAAAGTTACTTGACCCTGATCCTGACATTCTGAGTTTAATCCCTGGGTCCCACATAATAGGAGAGAACCAACTATCACAGGTTGTCCTTGGTCTTCTCTAAGTAGGCCATGGCATGTGCACACCACACATACCCACAGCAAATAAATTAATACAAATAGAAAGCACTATCAACTCTAACATGTCAAGTGACCAAACAGTACATATAAAGCGTAAGTCTATATAGATATTTCATTGCCCAAACTAGAAAAGACTTAGGATCACTACTCTCAAGAGCTGAAATTAACCAATAAGACTACAAATGAAGCAAAATACCAGAAACAAAATATATCTGAGAAATACTTATTTTGGGGGAATTTCATAAATATGGAACCACATGTTTCCATTTCTCTCATGACAAGCCACTGAACAAAAATCACCATCCCTTACTTACTTACATGATGTTTTCCTTCTTTCTTTTTCTTTTCTTTTTCACTTTTGTTTGTTTTGCTGGAGATCAGTCTAAGGTCTTGTGCATTTTAAATTTAAGTACTGTACCACTTGGCTATGTGTCCCCGCCCCAACCTTGTTTTCCCACTACTAACCACCCCCACCGTTTTCCCAGTAGTGACACCATGAAACTAAGAAGAAAAGATTAATCATAGTACCTCTGGGTGGCAAATCCATATCCCCTGATGTTAGTCCTATTAAGTTAGGCCTTTGTGCATGCACTCTGTGTCTATACATAGGTCTGGAAGTGTTTGTTATGCTTGGGGCTTCAGGATTGTAGCCATCTGTATCATATGTATCTGGTAACACAAAAACTGTAATTAAACAACAATTATAAAACTCTATATGGGTTTTTGTTTTTTATTTTTTGAAACAGGATCTCCCTATAGCCCTAGCTGGCCTGGAACTCACTATGTAGACCAGGCTGGCTTTAATCTCAGAGATCCACCTGCCTCTGCCTCCCCTCCATGCTGGGATTAAAGGCATATACGACCACACCCAGCTTATTTGGTAATATTTTAATACTGATATTGGAAAAAGCTAGCTACATAACTTACCACTAATAAATAATATATAACTGATCTGTTTTATATATTTATTAAAGAGAACAGCTGTACAAAAACAAAACGTTAAAAATATAAACTTCCCAAAAGATCTTCTCTGAGGAATTTATATTAATTCATCAGGTTCACTGCATTATAAAATTTTAGAGAAAAATTGACCTGCAGGCTAGTTACTTGCAAGACATTTTTGCATCCTCTTCTAAAGCTCTGCTTTAAAACTGTATTGCATTATGAATTTAGAGGGAACCAAAACTGCACCTGCGGTAAATAGAGAGGGTGGAGCAGGAGGAGGCTGGTGATGAATGCCAGTTGTTACTACAGTAGGAACAGAGCTGGTGGCAGAGTTAGGGGGAGCATCCATGCCAGATGGCTGCAAAGGAGGAAGTGGAGGTGGTGGTCCTGTCAAAACCAAAGAATAAGAAATATCATCTGAAAGCAAACAAATAAAATAAATTATTATACATTCAAGCACGATACTCTCATTTATCAAGCTAAAGTATTTTTACGAACAGTAAGCCCTTACAAGTAAGTTAGCTTTTCTATGGTATACTTCTTTTTAATCTATTCCAAACAGGACTACTGGCAGCTGGAGTACTGGAGTACTAATCATATAATTCATGGGCTTTTCCAAACCACAATAAGAAGTTGGATATAAATGGGAGTATACTTGGTTTCTTTCAGACATCTATGGATTTACTTTAAAATTTTTTAACAAAAGCAAGAAATTATTAATTTCATAGAAAGATATAAATGAGCAAATAAATACAAGCAACCAAATATATCTACTGACCTGTGACAGGTGGGAGACTGGGTGGTAATGGACCTGGAGGTGGCACTGGGGGTCTAAGATTCACAGGTGGGGGTGTAAGAATTGGTGGAGGTGGGGGCAGTCCAGGAGGAGGTGGTCCTTCAACAACAGGAGGCTGTGCTGGGAAAGGCAGCATACCAGGAAGATTTACATCTTCTACAACTACTGGGTCACTTCCATGATCAAAAGGACACATGTCTCCTCTCATACAAAAACCCTTTTCTGCAAAGAAAGAATCAGTGGAAAAGTGTGAAAAGTACTGGAAATAGAAAGCTTCTCTGAACTAGCAAAAGATATCTAAAAAGGATAAATTCACCCTTTCACAATAGACCCAGTAAGCAAGATGATATAAACTTAACGTAAAACCTTTGGAATACTTGTCATTAGATATGCATCCATTAAATCTCTCCTCTAAAACTAAAAGTATATTACAATTATGGTTTAGAAACTATTTAGAAAACCTTTTATAGTAAATACTTAAGTCTTTGACTCATAAAATGGGTAAGCTTCTAAAGAGTGATTTTATCAAAAATATTTTAGTAATAGATTCTTTGGAAGAATAACTCAGTAGGCATTTAATTTCTTATTTGGCAAAGTCTAACAATGTATTATAAAAACATTTTTAGGGGCTGAAAAGATGGCTCAATGGTTAAGAGCACTGGCTGCTCTTGCAGAAGTCCCAGGTTCAAATCCCAGCACTGACATGGCAGCTAGCAACTGTCCTTAACTCCAGTTTCAGGGGATCCAAAGCCTTCTTCTGTCCTCCATGAGCAATGCAAGACCTAGGTGCACTTATATACATGTAGGCATAGCACTCATACACATAAAATAAAAAACAAATCAAAAAAAATTTTTTTTTATTTTCTTAAATTGATAATAGGGTGACTAGTGAAAGATGCAATATTATAGAATACATGAAGGGATAAAAGCTAGTCTGTCATTTATAATACCACAGGTAAGTCCTTTTGAATAATTATACAATACAATCAACATAGGCAAATATAAATTTAATACATCATGAACCAGTTGAGACTTACCATCATAATCTCTACACCGTTTCTTTGGCATTGGTGGCCTTACATAAGAGTTATGGTCTACTTGGTCTTCATGGAATTCAGACCAACTTTCCGTAGTATTATTGCCATGATGAGTAGGAGCGATCACGGTGATGGTGCTGCTCAAGGTAGGGACAGGATAGTGGCCAGATGAAATATTCGGTACCGAAGAGACAGGAGTATAATTATTTTCTAACGGGTCTGTTCTATCGAGGTCGTATTTAGGTTTCACCAGATCCCTTTCTGCAATAAAATAAAAATAATTTGTAAAACTGTATTCTTTTAAAAGTTCCAGATTTAAAAACACAGTAATATTTTGCTAAACATAGAAAACAATTCACATTTTGCATAAATGCTCTTCTTTAAAAGTTACCTGAAGATGCACAACAGGTCAAGTGCAGAAAATAAGTAACTGTGGCGTGTTCAGCCCTAAATGGGACATCAGTATCACAGCCCCTCCACACAAGGCTCAGAGAGCATCAGAGAAGAGGGGGAGGAAAGACTAAGAGTCAGAAATTGGGGAAGATTACTGCAAAAGTATCTTCTAGATATGATAAGACTGATGCATTCATGAACTCATAGCTGCTGTGGTTGCCTACAAAAGATCAAGCCAGTCAATACTCCACTGAGGAGAGTCAAGTGGCTCACAAGGCCCCATTCTACTTGAGCAGCTATTGACGGCTATTGGCTGCTGGGGGAGGGTCAATTTTCTTCAGCGGTGTGATACATGGCAAGTTAACTATGCTCCAGTAGAAAATGCCTAATACTCATGTACATCCAAGCTGTATCAACTGTACTTGGGGGGGGGGGGGGCATAGCAGCTACATGTTATTTGGAAAAGGAAAGGGGGAGGTCTGGGAGGAGTGGAATAAATACACTGTATTCATGTATGAAACTACTAAAAAATAAATTTTCAAAACCTTTCTAAAGCTGCTCAATAAATACAGATTACTACAAGATAGGCTATTACCTGAACTATAAAACTATACATAAAATTGCCACACTTAGTTTTTTTCCTGGGAGTTTTGTTTATAGCATAAAGAAATTTTTTACTTTCTTCACCACAATCTTAGAATGCAGATTTGCTTTTCCCAGGATGAACATTTTGTTGTCATCGATCTAACAATACTACTATGCTAATTCATAATAAATTTTAGTAGGATGAGAATGGATAAGCAAAGGGGGAAGGAGAGTTTACTAAACATAAAGAAGAAAACCTGGCTTTATATAATTCCAAGGAAAGAGATAGGATACTATCAAGATTACTTAGGTAAAACAATGTGCAAAGAGGCCTAATAGACCAACCCCACAGTGGATGAAATACAATTTAAAAAGAAAAGAGGGAACAACAGACTATATGGCTTATATAAAGGAAGTAACAGTACTAAGGGCAGCAAAAACCCAAGTTTGAGTAAAAGTGTTCCACTCAACATTTTTGTTTTAATGCAACCATCTTCTTTTCAGTAACTACACGCTGGAAGGAAAATTACACATAGTAGAAAACTGTAACATAGGCTCCTGCAAATGCATGCATCTGAAATGAATTTTTAAGCTTATGTATACTTTTTTATTTGTTTATTTATTTATTTGTTTGTTTATTTATTTACTTTACATGTAGGAGTGTTTTGCCTGCGTGTATGTAAGTGCACCCTTGTCATGCAATGCCTGCAGAGAACAGAAGAGGGCATTAGATCCCCTGGAACTGGAGCTACAGATGGTTGTTAGCAGTCCATGTGGGTACTGGGAACTAACCAAGGTTCTCTGCAAGAACAGTCAGCACTCTTACCTAAGACATCTCTCCAGCCCCCTTATAGTTTTGAGGTCTAACTGATATATAAATATATGAATATAGGGGGCTGGAGAGATGGCTCAGCAGTTAAGAACACTGACCGTTCTTGCAGAAGACCCGGGTACAAATCCCAGCACCCACATGGCAGCTAACAACTGTCCTTAACTCCAGTTCCAGGGGGATCCAATGACGACAGCCTCTTCTGTCCTCCGCAGGCACTGCACAACACTGGTGCACTTACCTACATGCAGGCAATACACTCATACACATAAAACAAAAATATTTTTAAAATATGAATATAAGTATACAATATTATAAACTTTGATCTATGTATTTGTGAAACTAACAAAATGAAAATAATGACCATACTCATCACTCCCAAAAATATCCTCAGACCCCCTTGTAACCTGTAATGCACCTTTGCTTTCTTTACTACTTCTCAGTTAGCCACTAATTTGGAGTCATCTCTGATTAAATTTGTATTTCTTTTTTTAATGATCTTTTTGTTGACATGGTCGCTCTGTAGTCCCAGGTGGCCTCTAACTCACAGAGATTCACCTGCCTCTGCCTCCCAAGTGCTGAGATTAAAGGCATGCACCACCACGTCCAGCCTAAATTTTATTTTCTAAAATTTTATATATGTATATTTTTCTCTGGTTATTTTTATTCATTATACTATTTTATATTTATCACCACGTTACATGTATCAGCAGCTCTGTTGATTCATTTTATGGTATGCAAAAACTATTTGTTGATTCACCTGCTGACACACATTCAGGTTATTACAACTAAAGCTGTATACATATCCTAGTGTGAACATATACTTTTATTTTTTTTAGGTATCTAAGAGAGAAATGAATGGGTCATTTGCTAGTCATAGGTTTAATATTTTAAGTTATTGCCAAAGTGTTTTTTTCAAACGGCCCCTTTTAGCATCTACATTCTCCCCCAAAATGAATAGTTCTTGTTTCATTATAGCCACCCTGTTAAGCGTACGATGATACTTACCTTTGTTCCAAGTTACAGGGAATAAAACATTTTTAAAGAGATTCTTAAAAATGGGTCATTTGCTAGTCATAGGTTTAATATTTTAAGTTATTGCCAAAGTGTTTTTTTCAAACGGCCCCTTTTAGCATCTACATTCTCCCCCAAAATGAATAGTTCTTGTTTCATTATAGCCACCCTGTTAAGCGTACGATGATACTTACCTTTGTTCCAAGTTACAGGGAATAAAACATTTTTAAAGAGATTCTTAAAAAGCACTCAAAGAATAAATAACAGAAAAAAAAAAAAAGGCAACACATTAAACAAGTCTTAAAAATCTCTTAAGCATAGCAGTTTTTCATAGTAAAGAACACCAACCAAATTATGTGTACTGGGTTACTTACCCCTGCTTCGTGTTCTGCTTCTGCTTCTAGTCCTGCTTCGATCTCTGTCCCTATCACGAAGCCTCTCTTTACTCCAACTTCGACTTCGACTCCTGCTGTAACTGCGACTTCGCCCTCGTCTTCTATTATATCGGTCTCTGTATGAATCTCTTCGAGGAGGATTTCGATCATAATCTCTTTTGCGAGAACGATCATCTTTTTTTCTTTCATCACGACTTCTAAAGAAACATTATCGGTTGTATGTAAATAATGCTTACGTAAATATGGGGAAAAAAAACTCCAAGAAAGCTGAATCATGGTAACATAAACAAGAGAAACTCAAACAACTGAAGAAGTTGAGCTAACTTATTCTAAAATCTTTTTAAAAGAAAACAAACTTGCCTCTTAATCCTTAATCTTATGATCACAGACATTTATACAATTACATATATATAAATACATATATATAAAGACATCTATACATGTCCTATACTACATATACTACAAATAGTCTTGCAAATAGAATCAAATTTGCATGTATCACCTGTACCATACTCCCAACACTTCTGAAACTATAATTTAATCACACTAAAGGGAAACTTCAGACAAAAAATAAATCATCTTTCACTGAGATTCCATGTAAAGTTAGGACTAAGAGTAACAACAGCAACTAATATATATTAAGCACTGTTCTAGATCTTACTCACAACACATATACATCTGCACTAGATGTTCTTGGTTAAAAAGGGCCTAGTTATACTTCCCTAGGTCAAGAGAGTAGCCACTGCAGGAGTGACAGCACATGCCTGTGATGTGCTCCAGTCCTCAGGAGGCAAGAGACATGACTGTCACAGTTGTACACCACTACAGAGCAAGACTCTATCTCAAAAAACCCAAAAAGAAAAAAGGTAAACACTACTTACCCCTATGTAAAAGATTAAAAAGGTCTAAATAATAAAAATAAAGCCTAAGCACAGAATGGTTCAATGTATCACCTATTTTCTCTGTATCTGGAGCTTGACTGGGGAGGACTGTGATTTAGCCTTCTAGAAAATTTCTTCTCTCGCTCTTCCTCCTTTGTGATCTGATTTTTAAAAAAAGAAAAAGAAAAATTTACCAACAGTTATTTCTTGACATGCTATAATTTCTGTGACCTAATATTATGTAATACAGGCACAAGAAACATTATCTACAATTATTCAAACAAAACTAACTTAACCATTTAAGTTGCTGAAAGTTAACGTGAATAGTAAAGAAATTCATAAATCCTTACTTTAGATAATAGTGGCAAGAAGATATTTTAAACAAATGTCTTCATTTTAACACATGGAAAGCCAAATTTATTATTCCATCTTTCAAAAGCCTGACATAGATTCATGTTTCTGCTTCATGGATTTGGTCTCACATCAAAGAATAGAGGAGGACATATTAGAATTACCAAGTCATAAAAAATAGAGTATATAAGAAAATAATATAGACAGTGAAATAGTTCTCTGATTTCTTAGAGTATCATGTCAGAGGCCTCTAGTCATACCTTATAACTACTAGAAAGCAATTTTAAGAAACATTCCTTTGGTCATTGCTACATTTTCTAGATTATATTTCCTAGAACACTGATTGCACAGGACATTACACTATGTAAAAAAGGTTGAACAAATTCAAGACATTCACAATAGTTCTGTAAATATGTTAGAGCTTTGAAGATTATATGTTTTAAATAGCATTAAAATATTCTGATGAGGGCTGGACAGATGGCTCAGCGGTTAAGAGCACTGACTGCTCTTGCAGAGGACCCAGGTTCGATTCCCAGCACCCACAGGACGGAGACAAACCATCCTTAACTCCAGTTCCAGGGGAATCTGAAGCCCTCTGCTGACCTCCGTGGCAATGCACAACACAGGTGCACTCACATATATGCAGGCAATACACTCATACACATAAAATAAAAATAAATAAAATATTTTAAAAAATATTCTGATGAACATAATATACAGATAGTGCACACATATATCCCAATTTATGCCAGCTTTCCAGTATCCCTCTGGATAACAGCCTGTTGTTATAAAATGCATTCCACATAAATAAACTGAATGGACAATCTACCAAAGGTCAAACATGGAAAAACAACCATAAAGCCTTCTTTCACTTCTTTCAACAGTTTGCTTTTTATGCTCATCAAGTACTTTTCTAACCCACTTCAAATTCTCTTGCCAACTCACACATATATATGAACACTAATAAAGCCTTCCTGATACTTTTTTTTTAAGGATTTGATCTCATTATGTAGCCCACACTGCCCTGGAACTTCCAACTCTCCCACCTCATCCCACAAGTCAAGTGCTAGTATTATAAGCACACGTAACCATACCCAACTCTGCTAATGCATTTTTCACCTTCTATTTACCTCAATGTAGTCTTGCAAACAATTCTTCTTTGCAATACTCAATATCATACATGCATACACACTGATATTAAATATTTTGTACATACAGCAATATACTTAATAGTGCATGCCAAACTGGAAACTTTTAGTACTCCTGTGGTATTCTGGTAATTGTGAAAGTTTGGGCATTAAAAAAAAAAAAAAAAAAAAAAAAAAAAAAAAAAAAAAACTAGCCAGGCGTGGTGGCACATGCCTTTAGTCCTAGCACTCAGGAGGCAGAGGCAGAAGGATCTCTGTGAGTTCGAGGCCAGCCTGGTCTACATAGTGAGTGCCAGGACAGCTGGGGCTAACAGGGAGACCCTCTCTCAAAAAGACCAAAAGAAAAAAAGAAAAAGAAAAAGAAAAAAGAAAAAGGCATACTTGTAAGCTTGGTCCTTGCTTGCCTTCTGAAAACTTTGCTATCTAGAGGATTCCCACCATTTCCTGATAAGAATGTCTCACTGTTTGATGGTTTGTGAAAACAAGCCTGGAATTTTGCTATATATAAGGTAGAAGGTGCCAAATCCAAATAAAAACTCTGAGCATTAAGTCTCTAACAAGCTTCTTTGAAATAGACATTATAACGTGTATTGCTAGGAGAATAGTGCTCATCCTCTGTGACTCCCACAAGTTTGGAAATCTGTGCTTGTCTTCCATCAGATTTTCTCTCTTAAACCTTGTCTCTTTGCTGACTTTGCATTCTTTAGTATTAATTAATCAGAGTCATGAATACAACTACATTCAGAGTTCTACAAATGCTCCTAAAGAAATCACTAAACCTAGGAGTGGGTTCTTAGTACTCCCACCATTAAAAATTCAGAAAATAGCTCAATTGCTCCTTGTATGTATTTATAGAGCCTACACAACATAACACAAATTTATTACCTCTTCTTTTTTTATATCTTTTTCTTGGTGCTGAAAAAATTCTACCTTCAGGCTTCCTGATGATGGCTGCTCTGGAGGAGGTAGATAACTCTTTGTATTCACAGCATCAAAAAGCTTTTCCACAAATATCTGTGTCTCTAAAATTAAAATCAAAAAAGAAATTCACATATCCAAAGACACTAAATAATGTCTTTTAATTTCCAGTTCCACACTTCAGGCCTCTAACACCTTAACTTTTACAAATCTAGAAATTACACAAAGTTCACCAATCAGTGTATAATGACACAAGTCCCATGGTAATGATTCATTCAAGCTTCAAGAGTAGAATGGCAAAACCTCTCTGACAGTTGTTTCCTCTATGACTATTCTTTGCCATATAGCACACCCAATATATAAACACAAATATTATCAGTATCAGATGTGAGAAACATAGAAAAGATGAAAAGCATAGGCTATATAACATTACAAAAGGTTTCTTTAGTATTACTTTGAAATAGGCAGTTATTCTTTTTTTTTAATATTTTATTTATTATTTTTATTTTATGTGTATGCATGTATTGCCTGCATGCAGGTAAGCGCACCCATGTCATGCAATGCCCACAGAGGACAGAAGAGGCTGTCAGATTCTCCTGGAACTGGAGTTATGGACAGCTGTTAGCTGCCAACTGGATGCTGGGATTCGAACCCAGGTCTTCTGCAAGAACAGCCAGTGTTCTTAACCGCTGAGCCATCTCTCGAGCCCAACAGTTATTCTTAATCTTTTAACTCATGTAACAAATGAGCAAAAGGATATTACTGAGGAAGCAAGCCATGCATATCATCAGTAACAATACTGTTTGTTCAATTTTGTTAAAGCTAGAAGCTATAACTTTGATATAAATAGAAGCTAAGTACTTTAATAATCTGTAGACAGTAATCTTACTTTAAATAACATAGTGAAAGAGTATTTTAAAACCAAAGTTATTACCTTTCTGAAGAAATACATCGAGCTGGTCAATACATAACGCCTTTAATTCTTTTTCACTTTTGTCTTTCTTTACCAAGGCCAAGACATATTTTGCTAAAGCTGATGGATCCGCATCACAGCTAAAGAAAAGAATAATATTGAAGAAAACAACCATAAATGAATATACACTCTAATTTTGAGTTACAAAAGACCACCAAAAATATGACATATAGTTAATATATGTAAAAGCATTTGGCTCATGGAGAAAAATCATTTCTTAAAAATACCTCACACAATATTATCAAACTGCACAAAACTCTAGAAATAGAGCTAAATATACTAGGCATTTAGATTTTTACAATGACAGCATTCAAATCAACAAAGTAGAAATGAGCTACGTTTAACTGATACTGAACTCTGTAACTATCTTTTAAAAAACTAAGTTGGATTCACAAGTTATCCTAAATATCACGTTAAACACAAAACTAAAATGTGAACTCACTAGAGAAAAGCACTAGCATTACAAAAAAAATACGAGCTATAACACAAAATTCTTATCACAAAAGTGTCATTGTATAAAAAAAAAAGTCAGAATGAAAAGAATCAAGAAAAAAAGAGGCTAGAGAGATGACTCAGCAGTTAAGAGCAATGGCTGCTCTTCCAGAGGTCCCGGGTTCGATTTCCAGCACCCATACAGCAGCTAGCAACTGTAACTCAAGTTTCAAGGGATCCGACGCCCTCTTCTGACCTCTGTGAGCATTGCACGACACAAATGCGCTTATATACATGCAGGCAGTACACTCACATAAACTAATAAATTTAAAAAAAAAAAAAAAAAAGAAAAGAAAAACAAGGGGGAAAAGCTCAAATTCCCCCAGCACAAAGTTTCTCTCAGTAAAGAGCAATGCTATAATGTGTTGGGGGTTGGAGGGCAAAGGTGAGTGAGTACATACTGAAAAGAGTAACTTTTAAAGAAAAATTCAACCTTATCTACAGCAGGTATGCAATCTTAAGCTACACTGAATTTTTTTTTCTCATTATCACGCTAACAGAATTCCAAAGTCTGAAAACATTCTAGTGGCAAGAATAAGAAGCACCAATTTACATACATTGAGCTGGTGCAAGAAAACTAGTAGGCCCTAGGGATACTGTTCTGGAAGTACTAATGTCCCAAATGCAATCTGACTCAACAATTTTAATTCTATACACACATGTTTAAATCACATGTGTATAAGTTATTTGCTGTCACATTGAGTATAAAATAAAAATATACAAATGTCCATTTAAAGAGAATTGGAAATTAATTATATTAAATCCACCTACAGGAATGACATGCAACAAGACATTCAAAACAAATATACTTAGAAAAATCAGTTATTCACTGTCACACTGCGTATAAAATAAAAATATACAAATGTCCATTTAAAGAGAATTAGAGGGGCTGGAGAGACGGCTCAGCGGTTAAGAGCATTGACTTCTCTTGCAGAGGACCTGGGTTAGATTCCCAGCACCCACATAGCGGCTACGAATTGTCCTTAACTCCAGTTCCAGGGGAATCTGAAGCCTTCTTCTGACCTCCGAGAAATATTAAAAAAAAGAATTAGAAATTAATTATATTAAATCCACATACAGGAATGACATGCAACAAGATTTCCAAAACATATACTTAGAAAAGTCAACTTTTCGAATCTAAAAAAGTTTAAATAGTATGTTATCCTTTGTAAGGAAGAGAAGATATATATCTAAGTTACTTACGTGTAAATAGCACACATGCACATGGATAAACTGATAATTGGATACTTGTGTGAGGAAGTGATAGTGGGATCCAAGTGAAGGAGAAACTAGGCCAGATGGGAATGTTTTTGATGACTGAATCATGCTCATCCAATTCAAAAAAGCAAGTAATTCCTCTTAAACTAAATGAAAATTGCTGTCTATTTAATTACAGATCACTTTACAAGAGAGTAAACGGCAAAATAACAGCAATAGCTAACTAACATTTACTGAACCGTCTGTGTAGGGCTTTCATTTTACTGAAGAAATTGAGCTGCTAAAAAAACAAAAAAAAAAGAAAAAAAGAAAAACCAAAAAAAGCAGTTTTCTAAGACTACTTAACAAGTAATAAATAGATGAACCAAGATTTAAAGCCAAAATGTTCTCCAAAGTTCACACTGTAACCACTGTACTCAACTGTGCCCTTACAATGAATGTCCAGAAAACAGATGTCCAATTTAGTTATTTCCATAAACACCTAGTATTACAGCCACAAACTCCCATCTATCTTCCAGATTACTTTTTGTAAAAGCGCTCCACACCTTTACCTTCTACATCCTTAGTTGCCATTCAACGCAGTTCCCCTAGCTCATATCCTATACTCTACCCTTCCCAGTTTATTTTTCAAAATCATTATAACATCTAAATTCCTCAAACTCCCAGTCCGACACCAGTCCTAACTCCCCAACTCAGTGGAATTCTAAGTTAGAATAACACCCAGGTTAAATTTGTTGTCTGTTTTTCGAAACAAGGTCTCCCTGTAGCCCCAGCTAGCCTGAACTTGCTATGCAGACCAGGCTGGCCTTGATCTCAGATCTGTCTGCCTCTGCCTCTGCCTCTGCCTCCCAAGTGCTAGCTTTAAGAAGTGCACCATTGCTGCATCCTGGTTCACCTAGCCTAAAATTAATGTCATGGCTTGGTACCATAAAAACAAGGACTGAATTTCATACCAACAACATAAATGTCAGTCAGTAAATACAATTTTCCTTAGGTACTGATGACACAAAGTAACAATTTTTAAACAGATATATTAAGGACTCAAAGTCGCAAGAGATTAAATAAGCAGTGGGAAAAGGATAACAGATTATTTCAAGAACAGATTTGACATGAAACCCTTCATTATGAAATGTCAGCAATTTTAATTAATAAACACAAAATTAGAAACCCTGTATCTTCAACATGAAGTTCAAATGCTATATTAAAATGACTTATCTACATTAAAACTAGAAAATATTTAAAATTTACCAAAATATTCCAATTCTTATGTATATATGGAATGCAATGTATAATGGTTTCACAAACATAGCAGTAACGTATGTCACTGAGCCAAAAGTTATTTATTTGTTTATTTATTTATGTATTTATTTATTTATTTATTTAGGTCTTTTTGAGACAGGATCTCCCTGTAGCCCCAGCTGGCCTGGAACTCACTATGTAGACCAGGCTGGCCTTGAACTCACAGAGTTCCGCCTGCCTCTGCCTCCCAAGTGCTGGGACTACTGATGTGCACCACCAAACTCGGCAAAAGTCTATCTTATAAATAGTGCATAGCTCCAATTGCACAGCAGAATCAATCACCTACGGAAAAACCTTACTGTAAGGGAATCAACAGGCTGAATTCAACCAGATCTCTCTCTCTCTCTCTCTCTCTCTCTCTCTCTCTCTCTCTCTCTCTCTCTCTCTTCTTTCTTTCTCTCCCCTCTCCCACCCATGTGAGAAAGACAGAGACAGAGAAAGAAGAGTGTGTTTGTGGTGTATATGCATGTGTGTATTCAGATACATGCTCCCATGCCCATCTGCAGAGGCCAAATGAGGGTATCTATCAGCTATCTTCCTCTAATCCCTCTATCCTCCATCTTACTCCCTTGAGACACAGTCTCTCACGAACCTAGAGCTCACTGTTTTCTGGACACTGTTTTCTTACCCCCTTTCCCAGTACCCTGACTCCCCCAGTGTTGGGGTTACAGGTGCACACAGTCACATCTGGCTTTTTACATGGGTGCTAGGGATCCAAACTTAAATTCTCATACTTCTACCCACTGAGCCATCTCTTCCCAGCCCACTATCTTTATTTTGCTTCGTTGTCTTACAAAAATTACATATAGATTAAGTCTGAGACAAATGTCAGAGTTGAGAACTACTCCATTGGCACACGCTTTTAATCCCGCACTTGGGAGACAGAGTCAGGTGGATTTCTGTGCGTTCAAGGCCAGCCTGGTCTACATAGTGAGTTCCAGGACAGCTGGAGCTACAGGGAGACCCTGTCTCAAAAAGACCAAAAAAAAGAAAAGAAAAAAAGAAAACAACACAGTGGATGGGGAGATAGTTCCTTGGGTAAAGTGTCTACTGCCCAAGCATGAGGACCTGAATTCAGATACCCAGCACCCATGTAAGGAAACTAGCCATGTCAGTGTATGCCTATAACTCCAGCACTGTGGGGACACAGACAGGCAAATCCCTGGAGCTCACCAGCCACCTAGTCCCTAAGCAGCCTAGCCCTATCAACGAGTTCTGCGTTTAGTAAGAGGTCCTGTTTCAAAAAATAAGGTGAACCAAGTATTGATGAGACAGAAGCAGGTAGATCTCTGTGAGTTCCAGATAATCGGGGTCTATATAGTGAGTTCCAGGTTAGCCAGGACAACATAGCTCAGTTTCCAACACCCACATAGCAACTAACAACTGTCCTTAACTACAGTTCCAGGGAATCTGATGTTGTCTTCCAGCCTCCGTGGGCATTGCACACACACAGCGTACTTACATACATGCAGGCAAAACACTCATACACACAAAATAAAAGTATATTCTTTAAAAAATAAAAAACAGTGGAGTTGGAGAGATGCCTCAGTGGTTAAAAAGCTTTGCTGCTCTTGTAAGAGGACCTGGATTCAATTCCCAGCACCCATGTAAGGCAATTCACAACTGCCTGTGACTCCCCCTCCAAGGAATACAATGTCCTCTTCTGGTATCTGTGGGCACTGCACTCACAAGCACATACACAGACATATATAGAATTAAAAATAAAATCTTAAAAAAATAAATACCGTAAGAATGCTGGGAGGGTTTCTGTTTGTTTCTTTTTTGGTCTTTTTGAGACGGTCTCCCTGTAGCCCCTGCTGGTCTTGAACTCACTATGTAGATCAGACTAGCCTCGAACTCACAGAGATACACCTGCCTCTACCTCCCAAGTGCTGGGATTAAAGGCATGAGCCACCACGCCTGGCTTCAAGAATGCATTTTTATTTTTGAAAATAGTGGGGTTAGAAAGGTTCAGCTTCATGCCCACTCTTTAAAAGCATAGGAGTGGGACCAGAGAGGTGACTCAGCAGGTAACAGTGCTTATCACTCAAGCCTGGAAACCCAAGTTCCA